TTTAGTTTAGTTGGCTCTCTTCGTGGGAGCTGGGGATTGGCCCCCTTTGAACAAAGTAGCAATACATCATTGGTGGTTCTTCTTGGGCTCAGGTTGCTATGCGGATAAAGCCCGCCTTTTCAGCTCTCTGGTTTGACGTCAGGGTCTTTTCACTGTAGTTCTGCTGCCCTTTTACCCTACCCCGCCCATCCTAACACATGGTGTTTTTAAGTTTTCAATATACTGCTATCCAAATGACCATTTGAGAAAATAAATGCAGGAAGAGAATATGCCTTACATATTAAAGTACCATCAGTAAAATCAGTTTATCCTTAAAACAACAATATAAAGGTTCACCTGCTCTTTTGTTATCTTTACGTGATTTTAACATTAATGAAATAGAACTACAAATGCTAGTGACACATTTGCAAAAAGTGAAACAAACTTTTTAGTTTCCTGTCTTTCCTTCCGTCCCTTGGCTATCAGAATTCCCAATTCTAAAGAACTACCTGCAATATTATTGCAGTATAAGTCACAAATGTGTAAATAATATTTAAGTGAAAATGACTTCTATGTATACACCAAACTGACTGACTTGAAATTTCCTGTAAGATTTGTTCATCTCTCAATGTCAGACACAGATTTGAGTGTTGTTTTAAAAAGTGTTCCTTTTATAAAGCAAATGATTGTGCATTTTCCCAAAATGGATAGGGGATCCAAGACTTGGAAAATTTTAGCTTAAGGTAAAAAGTTGTAAGTCTAGCAAGTAATGTGTATGTTAAAGCTTTTGTTGCAGAAACTACAGATAAAGCCCATCCTGGATCCTGGGAGACAACCAGCCTCCTGGGGCACTAGCTAGAGATTAGTGCCTGGGGACAAGTTGGAGGCATTCCTGCCTTTTGTCTTCCAGGAGTAGACGAGACCTCCCCCCACCTGCCCAGCACAGGAGTGTTGCAGCTTCTGAATCTTAAAGCCCTCACCTAACCTTTGTTTGTTTGTTTGTTTGTCTGTCTGTCGTGGTCCATGTCCCATGTCCATACCCCCCCCACCCCTATATAAGGTCTGGCCAGGACAGAGAGATGGTTTGTTAGGGTATGAACCCGCCATCTTCTCAGATTACCAGCCATCTGAATAAAGCGCCCATAAAAGATTCAATCACTGTCACTGCTTATTGGATTTGGTAGTGACAGGCAGCCCAAATGCTGGTGTCTTTTCTGGTTACAGGATCACTAGATATTTCAGAGATAATAAAATGTAGAATAATTATTTTGTGTGAAAGTTGATTTGCTTTAATCACTCATTTTACACATCTAAAATTTTAGTATCATTCACACTCAGGAACAAAGTTTTACTTTACAACTCTTTAACACTTTCCTTGCCAGTCCTTTTAACTTGCAAACTAAGTGTATTCTCTGTTAAATTGCTATTTCCCTACTCAGCAATTCCTCATTTTGTATTTCCCTCTTGCCATCATCACTGACATTTTCTCAAACTAAGAGTAGTCTGTGGGGAAAATTAAAATATAATAATCTTCAATTATTCTGAGACTGGAAAAGAGTCACTTTCAAATGAATCTTCCATATTAATATCTTAATGCTAAAAGTATTAATATCTTAATGCTAACTTCATGAACGGGCTTGTTCTCTCATTAATAGGTGGCCTCTATATAAATCAAAATCTATCATGAAAATAATCTGGACCTTTTTAAAAGATAAACAGGTGAATTATTACATAACGTATAAACAACAAAACTGAATAAAACCACTAATATTTAGTCTATAGAGATTAATTTTATAAAATAGCATAAAATAAAATCTTCAAAGACCACTGCTTTCACAGGCAACAAAAAAGATTTATAATTTTAAAAAATGTAACAAAACAGGAAATTCACACATATCCATATATACATATGTGTAAAATACATAAGATTATATATATGTCCAACACAATAGCTCACATCTTCATTACCTTTTACAGGTTATGATTTCAAGTATTTTTTAAAAATATTTTATTTATTTTTCGAGAGAGGGGAAGGGAAGGAGAAAGAGTGGGAGAGAAGTATCAATGTATGGTTGCCTCTTATGCGTCCCCTGCTGGGAACTGGCCTGCAACCCAGGCATGTGCCCTGACTGGGAATCGAACCGTGATACTCTGGTTCACAGGCCTGAGCTCAATCCACTGAGTCATGCCAGCCAGGGTGGTTTCAAGTATTTTTAATTTAACCCCACAAAGGCCAGGTTTATGGTTTTTAAGTGACATGGTCTACAAATACGTTTATATGATTCTGTAAAATTCTTATTTTTGCAATACCATGGCTTTCCAGACACTTGAGGACACCGATAAACAGATCCTCACTGGCATAAATGTGCTGAGGATTTTCTAAAATATGCTGTGGCCTCTACCATATCATTGGTCTAATATAGCTATTGAAAAACTAAGATGCAATCTCTTCTATGGCTGTGTTTTGGCCAAGTAGTAGCATATGAAACATGTAATGTTCAATAACTTGCTCCTCAAAAAAAGGTGAGAATAGAGTTTTTAAGTGTTCTGAATGATCCCTTTTATTATCATAGTGATTCAAGGGTTGTGACAACAGGAAGCCTGAGCAGGTCAGATATGATGCCACTTTTGTCATAAACTTTTATTCTGATCCCTTTCTTTTGAAGATCCAGTGATAAAAGAAAGGAATAATGATTAGGAGGTGGGACAAGAAAGGAAATCAGTGGATAAACCTCCCTACAAGTTGCCTGCTACCAGGAATAGGGAATTTCCTTAGGGGAGAGGATGCTGCAGAAAGGAGTTAAAAAAGAGGTGAATGTAAGAGGGTGATAATCACGAACAAATGCTTCAGCAAAAAGCATGAGACAGGGTTAAGGTATATCTCCATAAAACTCCAACAGGATTCTAAACCATCTGTATTTATTTACTAAGCACTGAGAAGTATGTTGAGTACAAATAAATCTTTTTTTATATTCTATTTTTTTTTGAAGTGAAAAAATTTGGCCCAAAATATTAGGAACCCAAAAAAACGCAATAACCCCCCAAAAGGGTCCCCACCCCCCTATTTTTAATGGGGGGGAGGGGGTGGGCTTTTTTTTTTTTTTTTTTTTTTTTTTTAATTAATAAATCTTTGATTTATTACTAGAGAATATTATAACTTTCTGCAGTAAACATGCTGATTAACAATTATAATTGCATGGATTATTGATGTGAAAAACTGAGGGAAAATTGTTTTAAGTTACAACCTCAAAGTCACTGGAGGAGGGTGCTTTATTTGGTATTAAATACTGGATATAAGCTTACTTTTTGAAGATTTCTGTTTTTGTTTTAAGAGTAAAGTGTAGCAAACCAGTCTGATTAATGGGTTCTTGGTCAGGTTCTGGTTAATTCTTACTGGCTGTTACGGATATCTATAACCATGTAAAACTCAATTTTCAAAAGATACAAAAAATTTAAATTTTAAAAAATTGAGTCCTGAATTTAAATCCAGTCTGCATCCAGTCCTGAAAACTATTATTCTCCTTGTTGCTGGGACAAGTTGCCGCACTCTTTCAAGATTCATATTTTTCAATAACAATAAGGCAACTAGTTGTGTGAATACTAGTGTAATGGGACATGTAGGGTGAGAGGCCCCCCCCCCAGACCTGGTGGCTTGGTGGCTAGAACAGCAGGGCAAGGATTGAGAGTTGTTTTGCATATCAACAGGAGGCTAGCTAGGGAGCTGGGCATAACTTTGACCTATGATGTAACTGGGAGGCAGCTCCCCAGCTACAGCCCTGCGCAAGAGCTTGGAGACGGTTGGCTCCACACCACGGGGCCTTAACTCCTGGACTAACTAACTATGACAGCCACAAAAGGCGGAAGAATACAGGAGTGCTGGCAGGTGTATCAGGTTGTGGGATGAGTCGGAAATGGGGTGAGGAGGTTCCAGGCTGGGATTTAAACTAAAGGCAGTCAGCCGCAAGGGATGAGACACAATGCGAGACAATGAGGGAAAAAGCCAGACCATTCTGGACGATAAAGGGTGAAAGGACTCTTGCTGGCAGGCCATGAGGAGGTGCCACATCATTGTGGGTTAAGAACTAGAGATCCTGGTGACACTGCTGATGGTGCTGGGGACTGCAGGAGACCTGCCCAGCTCGCACAGATTACTGGGATGAACCCGGAGTCCAGCCAAGCTATGGACTTATATTTTTCCTGAGATATGGTACCTCTGACTGGTGAGGACTGGCAAGGGAAGGCAGGAATATGTGTGTGTTTGTAAGTGTGTTAAAGAGACTTTGAGATTTAATGGCAACATTCCACCATTATTTATCCAACTTTTGAATAAATAATTCCTTTCCTTTTCACCAAACTCTGGCATTGAGAGCCACAATTCCTACCTGGCAGCAGGCAAGAAGAACCCAGGGTGGGAGGCCAGTTTTGGTACCAGTATCTGGGTCCTAAATGTGTCCATTCTGTAACACTAAAACTCTTATTTCCTCAAGATTCAAATAAAACATCTATTTTCTCTCTTGCACAAACATCTGTCAATATTAATATCTCACTCAACATGAAAGCCTTACCATAATGAAGGATTTCAAAATAAATATGAAAAATTGAAAGTAACCAGAATAGAAAGTTAAAAAGATAGAGAAATTTCATTTAATGAAAGGTCTAGCTTTTAACTTCTGAGCAGAATTTTAAAACTTTTATAACATTTCATTCCCATAAATCCATTTTATTTTTTATTTTTTTAATCTTCGTGTGAAGATATGTTTATTGATTTTTAGAGAGAGAGGGAGGAAGAGAGAGAGAGCAAAATATCAACATGAGAGAGAAACACTGATGAGCTGCCTCTCCTATGCACACCAACCAGGAATCAAACCCACAACCTAAGTATTGTGCCTTGACCACATACTGAACCCACAACCTTCTGGGGCATGGGACAATGCTCCAACCAACTGAGTCACCGGTCGGGGTTCTATAAATCCATGTTAGATAGCTGTATACCTTTGGGAAATATTTAAATAAATGTTTACCAGTTGCTTTTTGACGAACAGTATTTCTTGCTTTCTCAACTCCTGGTGCCCCAGATGTGGTGGCACTCCTAAATCGCATTGGCTCAGTCACATCTGGGTGGCTCCTCCAGCTGAGAGAAAAGGATCTCCCCACAGTAGTTCCTTTCTGAGAATCTAGAATGCAGCCTGATAAAGGACAAGACAAAAAAAAATCTAAAGGCTAATTCATTATTATTCATTTCATAGCCTATGTTGCTCAGCAAATTTTATACCTACAATTATGTATAATCGCCAGCTTCTCTTGTTGCAAATTAGGTACCAACTCCTTATACTGTAATTTAGGAAGTTATTTATGTGCAGGTAATCTAAACATTCCTATTGACAAAGTATTTTTCAAACATCTCCAACAGTCTCATGAAAATTACTCTATCTTCATAGTACTTACTCCAATATACAAAAAAAACACATCAGTAAACCTCTCTCAATATAAGAACAATGTCAAATGAAGTTATACCACTGCTCCAAAAACTTTCATAAACCAGAAAGTCAGACATCTGATTTTAGACTAGTTTTCCATCCTGTAGGTGCCAACCTCTCCACAAATACCCAAAAGAAATTAATGCCTATAACCTCTAATTAGAGACAACCAAATGAGCAAGGAAAATGACAATCTACAAATAATACAAAATCCTATTTCAGTGAAGCTCCAAAAACAATAAATATTATAGCTCTGCAATTCAGATTTTCTTCTTTCCTCTCGTATTGCTCTGGTCATATATTTCAAATGTGTGGTCAAGAATCCAAAAGAAATACAGGAGAAAAGAGAATGAGACACTAAGAGATTTCTGAACAGGTATAATGTGATTGTTGGCTGCCACCTGTGGCTTGTTTTCACACTCAGGTTCCTCTCAGAGTGTATTTTATTTCCCCGAGTCCAGTACTTAGAAGCCAAGTACTTCTATAATGAATATTTAAATGTTTCTAGAATAAAGCAATATAATAATTAAATCAGAAATATATTCTGTACTCATTAAATTTGTTCTGTATTGTTCCAAAAATAGTGTTCCTGAAGTTGTTTACCTTTCTAAGACACACCTATCTTTTCCTATGACTCTGTTCACATAGTGAGAGGAAAAAATATTGTGGGCGGTGAGGGGGAGGGTAGATACAAGAATTTCAGGAGGCAGGGAATGTGCTGAGTTTGAGAAAATCCTGACCTCCGGTCTCAGCAACTCTCCTCATCCTGAAAGTCACTCATAGTCAGGCAGACTCTCTTCTGGGCTGAGAACCAAAGTTTTAGAGAACCAATTTTATCGTCTTAGGCCTGGGTTTAAATAGAGGCCCTCAGAGATGCTACAGAGCATAAGACAGAGGCCAAGGGCCCAGGCTCTTGGCTCCCTGAGCCTACTTCAATCCCAAATCTCTAGTTTAATACAGTTTTTTAGAAAGGGCTCTGTATAGTTTCAAAGGGAGAGGGAAAAGGGATATGCTGCTAAAATACATTAGAACATCATTAGTCTAAATTTAAACTAAACTGTGTCACTGGAATAGTATGTGCTTAGACTACTTTGTTTTGGCCTCCTACTAACTTGCTTTGGTTAACTGATGCTTTGGCAAGCCACTCACAGACTGCAATGAACATATTATAAGAATGAGCCATATTAATGATTGTAACTCATTCACACCTACCAGTATGCACATTCTCTTTTGTACTCTCTACCACACTTATGGCTTCATCATGTGACTTACTTTGGTAGCAAGACTGAGTAAGCAGAGATTTAAAATGCACCCATTGCCCAGTCACCCCTGACAACCCCTAGAAGTAGAGAGCTGCCTAAGTGACAATTCAGTCTAACTTAGTGATTTTCAATAGGTGTGCCATGCCACACCGATGTGCCATAAGAATTTTTAAAACATGCAATGTGTGATCTAGTCAGTGGCACTTATCTCTTTTCCCTTACACTGGCAAATAAAAAACTGACAACAGCCCACACATCAATAGCAATCCTATGTGAATGCTCTGTCTTGAACCATAAATATACAGGTTGCATAAAAGAGTTTCATTTTATTAATCATGTTGCATGATAAGGTTGTGTCTGGTTGGTTAATTCTTGATACCAGAAATTCTTATATACAAGTGTAGGCATCTGACTTTTTAAAAGTCACTTTGGAGCAAAAAGATAGGTAATTATTATTATAACTTTTTTTTGTAAATAAATCAAAATCACACCTTTTTGTCAGATCAGCAAAAAATGTATTTTTTGGTATGTTGCATAATTTTAGTAACTAGTTTGTGTGTACCATGAGATGAAAAAAGTTGAAAATCACTGGTCTAGCTGACTGCAAACACAGGCATGAATCCAGCAGAAAAACTGCCCAGCTAAGTCTGACCCAAACTTTCAACACATTATTACATCATTACTAAACAAATGGTTATTATTTTCAGCCATAACGTTTTGGGGTAATTTGTCACACAGTAAAAGCTAACTCACACAATCTATAATAAGGCTACTGATGAGGTTGTAGTGTACCACAAAAAGCAATGTACCCTTTATGAGTCTTTGAAGGAGAAAGCGTATCACTTAAGCAAGTACTCTCTGATTCTCTGATGTAACCCTGTGGAAATCAGAGTCAAATCTGAGGCTGCCTTCCCACCTCTCTAACAAGCACATACGGCTCTCTGGCATGCAATTTGGCATTTTAACTATACCTGTAGCTCCACCCCTTTCATTTTGCCCCAGTGTCCTTATTAATTTTAACAATTGTATTACATGTATTTCTGTGAGCTGCCTCAAAATCTTTACATAATAAATTAGAAAACAAGTGAATAATTCTAAGAATTGTGTCACGGTCTTAAAAACAGTAATGAAGACAGGGGATGCCAAATTGTCATCCCCAAAGAAACCACCACTGATGTTTCCACCCTGATCTGATTCTACCCCAAACCAATTCCTACGCCAAAACACATCAAAGCCAAAATGACTCCCATCTGAAGTATTCAGAATTTTTACACCTTTCCTAGGGAGGCAATAGAGTATGTCTTTCTAGTGTGGCATTTTGAGTTACCACCTCTTACCTATGTGACCCTGAATGAGTTAATCACTGTAGACTCTGTTCTTCAGTTTGTTTGTTTGTGATATGGGGATAGTCAATGGTATCTATCTCACAGGAAACCATGAGGGTGAAGAGAGAGAATATATACAAAGCACTAGCCATTATTGTTGTTTTTTACTACTATCCCCTTTGTCTGCTTTCTTCTTCCACAGCCTCTTCATAAATTTATCATCCTCATTAAGGGGATAGAATACCATAAGACACAATCTAATGGTTCCACTGAAGACACTGTCTATTTATATGGCTGGTTCAGTTTATTATGAAGTTTCACAATACTCCTTTCCTGATGTCTTAGACATCTGGGGTTATCTTGTAAGAATAGAAATACCTTTGCCTCGTTGTTTCTTTTCCTTCTGTTCACTTAATTTGTCCAGAGGTAGATTTGTCATCTCAACTCCATAAACAGTTCTTGCAAGCACTGCTGTCAAGGAATCCATAATGTTGGCCCATTCATTTATGAGTTCCTCCCACTCCGTGAGGGAGGACAGCACACCAAGAAAGTCATCCCAGAGCTCTCGAGAAATGTACACACAGAGGTTTGCTCGGATCCAAGCCACAATGAGCGTCTAAAACCAACCAACCAAGTGAGAGAATTAATTATCTTCGTTTGGAAAAAGTATAATTTTAACAAAATATTTTACATTACTAATAATAAAATGAACTTTACAACAGTAAGTGCTTTTGGATTTTGTTTTTCTCGTAATTTCTCAAATTCCATTTGATCAACTATAATCAGGATTTGAGCTACTGTGAAGTTAGTTATCATTATGAACAAAGTTACTAGTCCAAAATTATGAACAAAGCTACTAATTCAAAATTGGTCCTGGCATAATTGGGGAGAGGAGAAAGCTCTTTGTACAACAACTATTCTGTTCAAACAGCTCTTTCATTCTCTACAGTGGCTACTTTAGACATCATCTTCTATATGTAAACCTTCAACCTCACCAACTCCTCCCTGATTTTGAGCAGATGAACTCACTGCAGACTTAAAAGAAAACATAATTCATTAAACAAAATGCTTCTGACCTCTGCCCTCCAGGCCACATGTCTGCCCAGCCTCCCCTCCGCCTGCAGGCTCTGCTCTTTATACATGTCCCCACTCTGCTCTGGACCTCTTCCTCAGCTCTGCCTCTCCTTTATCTCCAATCCAGCCTACCTCCCCAGCTCTTCTCAGCAGCATAAAATACTCCAATTACTCCACATCTTTAAAAAAAAGTTCCCTTGAATAAAGATTATGAAGATTCCTCCCTCTATCTATAGCCCCATTTCTCCCCCTTTCAAAGCCAAGTTTCACACTTACTCCATCTGCAATTGTTCACCTCCCAGTCAGCCTCTGGCTTTCTCCCTCCTATGCCATCCCACCTTTTGCTTGGGTTTTGATCTCCATTCTCACAGCTCCAGTTATCTGTGTACTGTTGACTTCTGAATCTCCATGTTCATCTCAGACCTCTTCGCTGGTTTCCTGACCTATCTGCTAACTAGATAGCTCTGCCTGCATGTTTAGCAGGCACCTATAATACAGCATAATAGTAAAAAGAATTCAATTTCTTCCACTGAGATTCTTCCAAACCCTCAACCTGGTCTCTCCTGCTCCTCTAGTAGCCTTCAGTTTTCATAGTTCTCTGCACTTCCCCCATCAGAGCACTTAATGCTCTTTTCCTTAGGAGTCTATTAACTTCTTTGTGTCCCTCCTCTAGTCTTACAATCCACAGCACTACAACTGGTCACATGGACAACCCTACAAGACTACTATGCATATATTTTGGATATTTCCTTACCTTGATATTGCCCAGTACCTTACTTCTGCCAAAATATTCCACATCCTTTAAAATTCAAATAAAAATAATTTCTACCCAATCAAGATACAAATAGGCTCCCACTGTCATCAAGAGTTATGCTGTTCATGGAGTAGAAGTAAATATTTTTTAATTAAAAGAGAAATTTTTCTTTAACATACACATAGGAAAATTTTGAGAAATGGAAAACAGTCTATAATTAGGCAGGACTGTTTTGACCATCTGGAAATCATATTTAAAGTGACCCTAATGCAATATACCTGCTTCCTGTGTTTCAATTCATATCTACCACACTTACTAAAAGCCTAAAAATGTTAAAGTTGAGCTAAATTAGTTAAATATATTGAAAACAAGGTTTTAAACTCATATTTTAAGTGTGATTCTAAGAGGAATAAATTTTTTAGAAGTTAAGAACAGCCCTGGCTGGTATAGCTCAGTGGATTGAGCTCGGGCCTGCGAACCAGACAATCGCAGTTTGATTCCCAGTCAGGGCACACGCCTGGGTTGCAGGCCAGTTTCCAACAGGAGACTCACCAGAGGCAACCATACATTGATGTTTCTCTCCCTTTCTCCTTCCCTTCCCCTCTAAAGATAAATAAATAAATTTAAAAAAAAGAAGAACAATGTGACTTCTGGCCAAGATGGAGGTATAAGTAGGAACACATACCCCTCACACAACCATGAGAACAATCATGACTAACCTCAAAGCAAAAACAACCAGAACTGCCAGAAAAATCAAACTGTATGGAAGTCCAACAATTAAGGATTTAAAGAATTATTCATCTGGATGGGTAGGAGGGGTGGAGATGGAGAGCAAGGGCAGAGTATGTGATATGGAGGTGGCCAGACAGTGCTGGTGCTGGCCAGCAGAATTGATGGTCTGATATTCACATGTGGCAGATAAAAACCAGGAAGGTCACCTGAAGAGCAAGAGATCCTAGCTCCAGGCCAGACCATGCAGTCCAGAGTCCCAGTGCAGGGAAATAAAGCCTCATAACTTACGGCTGTAAAAACCAGTCAGGTTGGGGTCATGGAAGAAATGGCCAGTCTCTCAGAAGTATCCATTTAAAGGGCCCCCATGGTCCTAGAATATATGCAAACCACCCACTCTGGAAACTACCAACAGCACAACAGCTAGAGGGGCACCAGTTGCATACAGGGAAGTGGGTGAATTGACAGGAGATGGTGCAAGAGCTGAGCAAACAGTAGTGTTTCCTCTCTAACTCCTCCCCCACATAGAGCACACAAAGCTGTGAAGTGGGTTGATCCACCTGGTGAGTACCTAAAGCTCCTCCCCTTACAACATAACAGATGTACCAAGACAGACAGTCAAAGCAGCTCTATCAAAAAACACAGAAAAATGGGAGGCTGCCAAATCAAAGAGACAAAGAAATATGGTCCAAATGAAAGAACAGAGCAAAACTCCAGAAGAAGAACTAAGCAAAATGGACAAAGCCAACCTATCAGATGCAGAATTCAAAACACTGGTGATAAGGATGCTCAGAGAACTCACTGAGTATGGCAAATGCTTAAGAGAAGAAATGAAGGCTACAATAAGTGAAATAAAAAAAAAATCCACAGGGAACCAACAGTGAGAGGAAGGAAGTGTGGTTCAAATCAACAATTTGGAACATAAGGAAGAAATAAACAGTCAACCAGAACAGAATAAAGAAACAAGAATTCAACAAAATGAGGAGAGAATAAGAAGACTTTGGGACACCTCCAAAAGTGTCGATATCTAAATAATAAGGATGTTGGAAGTGGAAGAGAAAGAGCAAGAAATTAAAAACTTATTTGAAAAAAACTTCCCTAATTTGGCAAAGAAAATACACATGCAAGTTCAGGAAGCACAGAAAGTCCCAAACAAGGTGGACCCAAAGAGGACAACACTAAGGCACATCATAATTAAAACGCCAAAGGTTAAAGATAGAGAATCTTAAAAGAAGCAAGAGAAAGGAGGAAAGTTACCTACAAAGAAATTATCATAACACTAGCAGCTGATTTCTCAAAAGAAATTTTGCTGAGACAAGAAGGTACTGAAAAGAAGTATTCAAAGTCATGAAAAGCAAGGACCAACAACCAAAATTTATCCAGCAGAGCTATCATTTAGAATGGAAGGGCACATGAAATGCTTCCCAGACAAGGTAAAGCTAAAGGAGTTCATCACCAAGCCCTTATTATATGAAATTTTAAAAAGACTTATTTAAGAAAAAGAAGATCAAAACTATGAACAGGAAAATAACAATCTCACAACTATCAACAACTGACTCTAAAAAACAAAAACAAACTACGCCAACAACTAGAACAAGAACAGAATCACTGATATGGAGATCATACGGAGGGTTATCAGCAAGAAGGGGAAGAGGGAGAATGGGGGATAATTAAGAAGCATAACTGGTAGATAAGCATAATTGGTAGATAAAAAATAGACAGAAGGATGTTAAGAACAGTATAAGAAATGGAGAAGCCAAAGAATTTATCTGCATGACCCACAGACATGAACTACGAGTGAGGATTGTTGGAGAGAAGGGAGGTACCCAAAAGAGGGGGGCAAAGGGGAAAAATTGGGACAACTATAATAGCATAATCAATAAAATATACTTAAAAATAAGTAAATAAATAAAATTAAGAACAATGCAAATTAAAAACTAAAACAATTATCATTTATCAATACTTTATTATATATTTTTATTGTAACCAAAATGTTTGCTTCCATTTACTCATTTTTACACTGCTATTTTCAAGACGAGTTTGAGGCCATTACCATAAAGTGCATATATACAATAAATTTCACAAATATAACCCTAAGTAGAGTACAAGAGGAAAGGATGGACTAGCACTGTTACCAGGACTCAGGTTCTTGTTTGGTTATAGCACTGGCTTCAGATTTAAAAGCAGATGTTGTAGTGTGGTAAGATGCCCTATATTAGGAATGTAGCATTAGCTTCATTTAATTGACTAATTATAGAGCACTGACTTTCTGTATCTTATAGAATTCATCTTAGCAAATCTTGCAAATGTGTATACAGATGTGTTGAATCATCATCATAATTCACAACTAGCAACACTTCCACGCAGAACAAAATGAAGTGGCACCTTTGGGCACGAAGGCAAGGTACCCTTTGAATATGTCACCCTTTCTAACAGGAAGAGGGAAAGAGAGCCCTAGTCAGCTGGTTCTGTCACTATCTTGATTTGTAATCTGGGCAATTTACTTGGCTTTTTGGAGTCATATTTCTTGTTAAAAATAAAAAGCACCTCCAAGTTTCTCTCAGCACTGAAATTCATGTTTCATCAAATATATCTTGGTATACAACCTGTATGAAAAACACCTTCATTCATAAATCACTCCTTTTCTTACATACATTTCTCCAACCAACTTTCCACGTCTCTCCCATACTTAGGGGACTACACAATTGTAAAGTAATGGCTCATACTATAAATAGAGGAACCATAGTCCAAATTTCCTGATATATTGTACTTTAATAGCCTTGGACATAAGGTCATAGCACTAACAAGAGGTTAAACATCATGTATGGCAATCAGCATTATTTGGAAAGTATTTAAAACTAAGTAAACCTCAACTATCATTTGAAGAAAATTTGCCAGTGCAAATTAGCTACTGATAGAGGAAAAAAAACCTAAACACTAAAGGAAAAATTTTTAAATGATAAAAGAAAAATGGGAATTAAAAATTTCCTGTCCCCTTTAATAATCTCCTTATTCAATTTTTTAAAAATTAAATATCTGGCAACTGTAGACAGTCCACATGACCAAATGAATAATAATTAGATGGCATACTTTAATCTTACTGTGAGACTAAGGTGATGCCCAGCTGATTGCCTGGCAGCTCTGTCCAAACCTTTCACACACCCTGCCCCCTTGGATCTCACAAAAGCACTTAAGTCAACATATGATCATCTATCCCAAATAACTCCATTCTCATTTTTATGACAACAAGATAGGAAGGTAGGAAGGAATCCTACCTTCAAGATAGGAAGGAATCCTTTTCTGGTTGTGACAGATTAGGGACGACTCAGAAAGGTAAAGTAATTTGCTCAAAGCCACACAGCCAGCAATGCCAGAATGGGGATCAGAACTCAGAATCAAACTCCCTGACCTGAGAGCCATGGGGATGTGTGTGTGCACCTTTGCCCCTGTTGTACACGAAGTGTCACCTTGGGCTCAAGAGGGGCCTCACATGCACAGGACTGTCTGTCAAGGGCCATCGAGTGATAGCAATGACAGTGAGTCCTTTGGCTGTCAGGATGGACAGGAAACCCATACCTCCCCTAAGCTGGTCAAGTTCCTGTTTGGGGACTTGGTGGTGATGGGATATACAGTTTTTGTGCAACCCCTGCAACTGAAGAACCTGATGCAGCTGAGTGGGGGAAGAAGCCAAGGCATGAGAGTACAAAACCAGCTTCCTCGACCTCACCAGTAACCTTAAGGCAGAAGAGCTGAGGAGCATTTACACCAGGCTGTCAGCAGGCCTACCACGCCAGCCTGCTTACACCGCCACTTGCCTTGGCATCTATACTGTGCTATTTCAACGTCTGACTAGGGCTGATGATACAACCCCTAGTTTTCTGTTGAAGGTCCTGATTGGCATGACTTGCAGGTCCCACTGGTGCCTTTGTAGGAACATCAGCTGAGGTGGCTCTTACCCACATCATGGCCAATGGCCTGCTTTCAGCTGACCAGTGCTATGGCTACAAAAATGTGTTCAATGCCCTGATTCAAATTTCCTGGGAGGAGGGATCCCCACACTATGGACGGGCTGCATCCCTACCATGGCTCAGGTAGTTGTCGTCAATGCTGCCCAGCTCACCTCTTACTCTCAATCTCAGCAGTTCTTACTAGACTCAGGCTATTTCTCAGACAACATCCTATGCCACTTTTGTGCCAGCATGATCAGTGGCCTTGTCCTTACTACTGCCCCCATGCCTGTGGACATTGTCAAGACCCAGATCCAGAACATGAGAATGACTAATGGGAAGCCAGAATACAAAAACAGGCTGCATGGGCTGGTGAAAGTCATTCACTATAAAGGCAGGCAAAGGGCCTGGAGCTGGTATGCTGGGGTTTCCATTGCCTGCTACTCCTATAGTCACTGTGCCCCTCGGAGGCCTGGACTACTGCCCTGGGCTCCTTTAATTATTTTCCCTCCACAGTGTGGTTCCTTCCTCTGCAGTAAATAACTTTGGTCTGTCCTATCCCTGATACAGCTTACCCTACTTATCCTGATCCTCATGACTTCTCTGTTCCTAGCTGTGCCTTGGAAGGAGCTGAGAAACTGAGGATTTTTCAGTCTCTTCTTAGATGTTAGTTTCTGGGCATATAGGACAGCAGAAGATCCCCTGTCTCAGTAGAGAAACCCAGGCAGAGCTAAGGAGACCAGAGACAGCAGAAGCTATCAAAATGGTCAGAGGATATACAGTGGGAGGATGTGGCCTTTCTCCTTTCATCTCCCTATGGACATAATTAATCAATTAGATTGATAACATAAAAAAATCTAACTCCCAAAAGCTTCTCTTTACTATTTTATGGTTAGTCCTTTTTAAAAAAGATTTTATTTATTTATTTTTAGAGTGAGGGGAGAGGAGGGAGGGAGAGAAACATCAATGTGTGGTTGCCTTTCCTGTACTCCTCTACTGGGGACCTGGCCTACAACCCAGGCATGTGCCTTCACTGGGAATCAAACCAGCAGTCGCTGGTTTGGTTTGCAGGCCGGCACTCAATCCACTGATCCATGCCAGCTAGGGCTTATGGTTAGTTCTTAATTTAAGCATTCTTCTTGATCCATCTAACCACTGCCAAAATAATAATAAAACATCAAAATATTTAATAATCATGGACTCAAAACTAATCTTCAAGTAAGAGCTGACAAGATTTCTCCATTAATGAGGGGGATTTTCTTACCCAAACCAAAACCAACCAACCAAACAAAAAACACCCGTCCACAACAGTCTTGCTTAATTCAGTAACAAGTTCTTACTCTAATTTCATTACAAACACGCAGGGCCAGGAAACTGGTGACAAATGAGACCTAAGTACCCACCGGTCTCAGCTTGGCCTCAGTCCATATCACTTGGCAGCCCTAGTCCCAACAGGACTGAGAGATCAAGAAGATGCTGACAGTGAGATGCTCCAGCAAAGTCGGAGCGAAGTGAGTAGAGTAACTGTATTTCCAGGGGGCAGCAAAGCAAGTGGTTCGGAATGTACCACTATTGGGGCAAGAGGACAACAAAGCATGACCCTCACAAAAGGATGTATAGACCACTACAAATACCCAATAACTAGGCAAGGCAATCAGAGTCCAATTTCTGTAGCCTTTCCTACATGTTTCATGAGGTCAAGGTCATTCAATCATATTAAATTATTAAAAATTAGTGTGAACAGTTGGGTTTTCTTGTTACAATGGGAATAATATGTTTTATTTAAAGAACTAATTTCTCTTTTTATCACCTTCATTTACATATCCTGCCTGTAGGCTAGAAATGTTCTTTATATCCTCCAAAAACCACCTTCACATCAACTGAGGAGAGAAGTTAGCTTCTCTAACTGTCCCTCCCAGCTGACAATACACTATGCTTTCTCATGTTAAAGTATTCAGTCATGTCCAACCACTATACTAATGCCTTTGTGTAGAATATCACACAATTCCAGAGTCCTTTCACACTGTTTCTTTCATAAATGCTTCATAAATTCTCTGTATCCCATAAATATTAGTGCTTTCTAGTAGTTGCAATAGGCTAGTAGCCCTCAGAACCTTCAAAACTTCCACTTTCCAGGCAGCTATATATTATCTGCCTTCTTGTCTCCCCGGCTCAGGGTGATGTCAAATTTCTTAACCTTTCTCATTATATAAGATGCAAAAAACAGACATCTCCTAAAGTCATCCCAGCCTTCCTTACCTTATCCGGGACTTCATTTCTGTAGTACTCCTCCCACTCCCACAAACTATCTTTTTCTCCCTCACCGAACCTTCCCCAGTGACAAGCAATCATACTTTAACACCAACCACCTTAAATCCTGCCCTCTAAACATGCTGCGCACTCCAGCTAGTTCCCTTTCCCTCCTTGCTTCCATATCAATACCTCTGCAAAGCCTTGACTATACTTTCTACCTCCACTGCCCAGCTCTGTTTTCTCCTCCATCCACTCCAAATGGGCCTCATTCTCCTAGAACATTCTCAACCACCTACCTACCTATTGCCAAAGTCACTGGTCCACTGGTCATTCCCCTTTTACCCAATATTCTTCTCTAGGCATCCAGACTAGTTTTCCTCCTAGCTCTCTGGCCACTTTTTCTCAGCATTTTGGCTGGCTTCTCTCCTTCACCAATCATGTAAATGGCCCTCTTCCTTCTATGACATAAATTCTCTCTCTAGGTAATCCCATCTGGTAATGTGGCTTCAAACACAATTGTTCAACACAGCAATGGTGCTCACATTTTTATTTCTAACCTAAACTGCTCCCTGACCTATTCCCATTCCCATACTTCTGTTCATCCTTTACCTCTTCAAATCTACCTGGCTCTCCACCAAAGCCATCAGCTCTTGGTATTTTCCTAATTTCTATGAACTTCAAGCAAATCAAAAGAGGAAGTAAATGGCAAAAAGGTAAGGCATAAAAGAAGCCTTGAACTAACTGTAAAGAATAGATTACAGCTTTTATGACAAAACTAAGGAAAATTTCTAGAAATTTAAAGTTAGTTTAATTTTTACTCTTAAAATTCTCTGTGATTGAAACTGCTTTGGTGTGAAATTTGATTCATCTTGTGCATCTGCAGTGGTTTAGTAAAAAAAGACTTACCCTAAACAGTAACCCTGCCAAACTCTGGGCAAACAAGTCCTTTATTTGTTTATCCTTTGGCTTCTGCAGGACAGCTTCTGTTATCCTGAGTAGTATTTGCAACATCTGTTCCCTGAGTCATCCAAAATAAAAGTTCATATTAATCACATCTTCAAAGCACTTTAATTTATAGGTACAAGAAATTCTCTTAAGAATTCAGCAACATTGATAAACATGTATTACTCAAAAATATTAAAAACTGGAATGCCCATTAAATAACAAATACTATATTTTATCAAAATAAGCTACCTTATGTTACAACAGTTCTAAAAATATTCCTCCTATGCCCACAATAATAGGCAGGATAAAGCAGGTATCATCCTAGCCTGATTTTTCTCCCCTTGGCAAGAAGGGAAACAAGACTGTTTCTCCACTTGTGCCTATCTGAACTTATGTAACACCCTTTAATTTTCATATCCATTATTTTATTTAACCTCTAAGGTCTCCTTATCTATCTTTTTGATAGAAAATAAAATTGAACTTTCTGGTCTTTGTTCTGTGGAGATATGTAGTCAACATAACAGTATAACTGAACTCCACAGTACTCTTAAGGTAGGAAGGTTTGGAAAGGCCACTTTTGGCCACTTTGAGTAGCTTTGTGACTGGAAGATCCTGACTCTGTACCACAAGGCACAACTGAGACAGCTGCAATCATAACATCTTAGTCACAGTGTAGCTGGCAGAAAGGGGTTTTTGTGTAAAATATCTTTGAAGAGTATAAAACACTAGACAGACAGAATAACACTGCTAATTGTAATAGTAATACAGTCTCCCGAATAGCAAAAGGGATTTTTCCTTCTCGCAGCTAACTTATGTTCTTCATATCAGAGAGTCTGCTCACTTTTTCTTATCCCAAATTCCATCCATGAACACATTATCTTTGGTGTATACAGCAGTCTATTTGTTCTCAGAGGGAAATCACCTCAGTTCTACTTTTAACTTCTCCTCTGAGATCTTACTAACCATTTGTTTATCTTTATAACGCTCTTTTTGGCCTCACTGCTCATTAGTGATAAGATCAAGAGCTGGACAAAGTCATGTAGTCCAAGTCAGATGAAATATCTAAATCATAGTTCCTTTATACTTTTCTCATATTTCTGCACATTAGGACAGTTATTTTCTCTTAACATGGCATTGAACCTCATTAAACTTCTATGATCTCTAGGGATTTCCTGCCATACTTGCATCTGAGACCCCATTAGACTTTTGTCCTGGGGTTTGTTAGTGTATATTCTCACTGCACGCTGTTCTACCTGTTTCCTTCTCCTATACACTGTCTATGGATTCCAGAGCAGGGAATAAGAAGACCTATCGAGTCATGAGAGATATGGGCACATTTCCATGGAGTGGACAGTGACTGCGAAGAGGTAAGGAAAAAATGGTGCAGAGCAGGGGACAGCCTGTCACTCAGCACATTCAGGGTCCCCAAGCCCTTGTCACAGGTAGAGAGAAGGGTAGCCAGTGTCACCAATGCCCACTCCAATTAAGTGATGCTTAAGACAATAAAAAAAGACCCCTTCTACATGAATAGTTATATACCATCTTACAACCATGATGAGAATAAGAGATGTAATAGTTTTAAATAAGACCTCAGTCATGGGAACTACTATCAAAAATGCAAACCTGATCTAAGCAATGACTGACAAAGACACACATGAATTAAATTTCTGAACCCAATGAAAGCTTGAAAATCCATAAAATTCCCATAATCGTCATCTGGAAGAATCTGAGAGTGAAAAATTGTCTCTAGTTTGGAAAGATCTTTCAGTTTGTTTCCTTCTATTTTATGAAACACTGACTTTTGGTAACTCTTCCTCAAAAGATCACTGCTCCAAAAACGTAACAAACTTCTATCAGAGTATATGAAATTATGTATATGAACTATCTTTGTGTTGGCAGGGTATTTTTTCCTGCACTCTTAATTATTTACACTGTCCTCATGATCTCACACAGATTATACTGTTGCTCATTCACACACCAGTGTTTACTGTTCTGAGGCCACTTAACATTTCCATGACTACAGCCTTGGTCTAGTGGCTGCCATCATCTATGGCCCCAGACTTTGTGCTCTACCCACTACTCATCTCTTCTCCATGTGGCCATCAGAGACCTTTTGGAAGCATAAATCAGATTTGTGTCACACTGTTGCTCACACACAGAGATGTAGCCAGTGGCTTTCCTGTGGCCTACAAGGAAGGCCCTGTGCAACCTGGCAATGGCTGGCCCCCTGCCTCATGCCCTCCCTCTCTCCCTTTCCCTCTGTCTGCTCCAACACATTGGCTATCATCTTATCCCGCCTGGAACATGCTGTACTTGTTACTTGCTGTTCCTTCTGCCTGGAATGCTCTCCTCTCAGACCTCCCCATGCTCCTTTCTCCCTTTACTCAGGACTCTGCTCAGAATGGCCTTCCCTGACACCTGATGAAAAAATCTACCCCACCCTACACTGCTTTCTTGTTTATTTTTTAACATGTTATACTACTGAAATTGCTTCTGTAATCATCATACTTCTCAGTCTGTGAGGATGCAAACCTCATGAGGACAGGGACATTGTCTGTCAATATCATAGTAGCAGAAGCTAGGTAGTTCTTTATTGAATAAAAGAAGGAAAGGAAAGGTGGGAGAGGAAAGACCAAGGGAAAAAGGAATTCAGGAATTGTCTAGCTCTAAAATACATAAGAAAGTCTGCTAGGGATAAAGGCACATTCCTTTCAATACTCTACTGACTATTTTTTGGTGAGCATTTTCGCCTATTCCTATAATTTGTTTTATTTTATACTTTTACTTGAAAATTTCTAAATTTTTAAGGAACAAAGAAATCATCTGATTTCGTTTCCTACAATTTTCACTAAAACGCTTATCAAAACATAAAAAAACTACTAATACAATATTATACAGAATTTGTAGAGTTTTCAAAGAAAAAAACATCAAAAATACTATTGCTATAACTGTGGCATCAAGGAGCAGATGTTGCAAAGCACACCGGCACTTCTGATCACTTTCGATAATACTGACATAGCATTTAACTTTTTAAAATCATATTGTTTATCATTCTAATATTTCCAGCTTTAACAACCGCTTCTTGGAAAACAGAGCTAAGTTTAAAAGTCTGGGGAAGACGCCAGTGGAATTTATATCTTAAAATAATCATTTTGATGCTTGTAGTTTATCTATTAGTGAACTCTATGCAAACAGGATTCCTCTAGGCCCACCCTTCCCTCATCTGAGAAAGAAAAGGGCTAGACTCAATGGCCTCTAAGGCCCTTGCCAGTTCAATCCTAACTCAGTTTTATGGTTTCCACGTTCTACAGACAGATGCCTTCAAAGAACCCTTTGTGATGACTTAAGGATGTTCAGAAAGGCATTCAGAACACAGGCCTGGTAACAAAGACCCCCCCAAACTTCCATGAAGGAAGTGTGTCATCAGTGCTGGTCTGCAGTGGCCTCAGTGAACTAAAAGCCACAGCCAAGTGTCACCAAAAGGAATGCTGACCATAACCAGGTGAACAGTGAGGGCAGCTTATCTGCTGGCAAATGGTGGCTGGGTGAAAGGAACATGCAAAAAATGAACTAGAGAGACATTTTAAAGGCCGAACTGAGAGGCTGTATTTTCGATGCATTAAGAAATACAAAGCAGCTCTGAGGTGCTCTGGTGTGTTGCTGAGAACCTCTAAAAACACCTCAGAAGCTCATGTCCTATTAAGATATTCATTTTGGAGAAGGGGATGGGAAAAAACCTAATTTACTGTTAATCTCTAGGGATATTATAAAAACAGCAAACAAAAACAATAAAAATGAACACACTTTGCATAAGCATATTTTAACAATGCCACTATTACTTTTGACCCAGTCATTCTGGCAATTTATCATTTAAAAATAATTTGTTTTCCAAAGGAATTTCAAACTTTGAGTCTGAAGAAACAAGAGTCAGTTAACAGCATTTTGGAACAGAGCATATGAAGAATGATATTGGGTTGGCCAAAAAATCCATATGGGTTTTTCCATAAAGTAAAAGACACATTTTTCATTTTCACAAATAATTTTACTATAATTTGGATACTTTGAGTACGTTAGCTATCTCCAATGTGGTATAACATTGATTGTTTTCAATTAATGTACTCATTTGATCATTATCAACTTGAACTGATCTACCCAACCATGGAGTATTACCAAGCAGCAAGAAATCTTCAGCAAACTACTTTTGAAACACATTTGATCAGTTACTGCACCTTTTCCATTCACTAACCAAATCTTTTTTTGCATTTCAATTGTGTTTCTACCTTTCTTGAAATAATTTAAAGTGTAATATGCCAAAATGCTGCACATTTTCTTTCATATTTGATATTAAAATGGCTACAAAAAATTCACCAATTTTGATGGGTTTTTTTTAATGCACCGCTGATATGACAGCTGTCATAATACAATCAAACAAATTGTTTCAAATGAAGTTAAAGACAACTAAGCACTACTAGAGCCATCTTACAGAAAATAACAAACCAACTTTTGGGCCAACCCAATATTATAAAAATCTCGGTTATACTGCTTGTCCGCAAAACTGTTTGATTAAAATGTCAGTTTAAAATGAAGAAGTCTACTATTAATTACTTTAATTACTATTAAAGTAATTTGACTACTTACTATTAATTCAAGAATATTTTAAAACCAATAATGAAAATAAATGAACTATCAAAGTACTGAATATTTTACCTGCTTCAAAAATCACAGAAACTTTTACAGAGGACTAATTATCACCTTATTGGTAACTCTGTAAATCCATATGATATGAAAGCTATAACATTTTAATTATTATGTTGAAAAACAGAAACGTCTGTTTTACAATTTTAATTAATTTGAAATAAACTTACCACGTCTTTTTATTCATTGTAAGTTCCATTATCATGCGTCTAAAAATAATCAAAACAGCTTTACAAGCATCAACTTGTTCTTTCAAGAGTATGGGAACTTCGGCACATGGTTCCAGCAAAAAGACGTTTGCAGCATTTGTCAAAAATACCTTAAAATAAACAAGTTTTCCTTTAGAAAATATTAAACATAGATATGAACAAATTTTATTTAAAAATAATAATACTAATTTCACTTTACCAATGAATCACCTTTGAGTTATTTCAATTAAGGCAAAAATATGGTACCAACACATACTGAAGATTTTTTTCATTCATCTGTTAGAATCACTCAAATATTGAGACATCTTGAAGACCTTTCTTAAAAAATATTACTATTACATATTATTAATATTGTGACTTTAGAAATTACAAGAATCAGAGGAGCTTTTTTAAATTTGACTTTTACGATTTTATTCATTTATTTTTATAGAGGGAATGGTGTGGGAAGAAAAGGAAACATCAATGTGAGAGAGAAACATGAATCAGCTGCCTCTCACATGTGCCCAACCAGGGACCAAACCTGCAACCCAGGCCACATGCCCTGACCCAGCATCAAACTGGTGACCTTTTGCTTGCCAGGATGATACTCAACCAACTGAGCCACACCAGTCAGGGCCAGAAAAGCTTTTGAAGACCTTTGTTTGATATCTCCTCCAAAAAGAGGGGGGAAAAAAAAGGTAAGATATGATCACTGCCTCTGGATGAGAAATTATGGTGTGGGGAGGGGACAGGAAGAGACACTGTGGTCAGAAAGCAGTTGGAAAGGACTGATTATTGTTGAATCTCCCAGCACATGAACAACTTCTGAGAGGAAGCATAGCCAGTACTGCCCAACATGGGTGTGGACCTCTAAAAGCAGTGGCATGCCAGGAAATAAAAGCCACACCATTGACATTGCACATCTTCCAGGAGCTTATATTTTTTAAAATGTCTTCTGTGTAGTAGAATGTAAAACCTAAGTTAATTCTTAAGATAAAAACAGATTTCAAAAAGAATTTAGATAATCAGCCGATTAATCTATGCTCTGCCTCAAACCTTTAAGATACAAATTCAATGTCCTCTAACATCAAGCAAGGGTGTTTCAGAAGAAAATTATGAGAAGCAGTAACCCAGGCTATCATGTGATAAGTTTACTGCTTAGGGGCACTACAATAAAATTGCAATGTGTTACTATTTAGACACATGACACTAGCAAACTCTCAATTTAAGAAATTCTGAGTTGTCATTCTGGTAATGTGGATGGATCTGCTCCATATATCGAGTTATATTCCATTTTAGGTTTCCTTTGTGTTCAACAGTGTAGATTCAAAGGATCTAGGAATAAGCAGAACTTCTTTGGCTCACCCATGGATGAAACCCATTAATACAACATCTCAAAACATATGCAAAACTGACCAAAGAAAACAACATACTCAAAAGTCAAGTGTATAAACTAAAATATTGACAGTCTAGAAAATTATCTTATATGATATTAAAAAGATATCATGCTCCAATTTTCTAGGAAAAATTACTAAATAAGCAGCATAATAGTTGCTAATAGATAATAGTAATGGTAAAGAATTCACTAGCCTTGAAGTAAGAAAAAAGAAAACAACCTTTTGACTAACAAACTAAAGCAGTCTTAGTGACTATGTTTTTAAAGAAAGTTTGCCATAGGTGACATGTTGCAATACAGATCTTTTTCAATGAATGTCATTTGCCTTCCTGATTTGAATTTGAAACTTTTGCATATTTTCAAGTAAAATTGAGGAGGTCTTCATATACAAGATGGAGAAACAGTAGATTTACACTTATGAGTACGTGAAATACAATTTATTCTCGTATAATTATTTATTAATTACTGCATTATTTTCCAAATGAATTATAAACCTACTTTCACCATACCCTGTATTATACTTCTTTCATTTTGCTTTTTAAAAAATTATGAAAATGCTAATTACATGGGTGTTTCTTATGACCATGTTAGTATCTGTTAAGGTAAAAATAAACAAAATCAGTAAAATTAGTATGTTCACATTGTACTTATGCAAAGCAGCTACAGAAGAGTACTATCTTATCAAACCTCCATTTGGCTACTTTTTCCTAATGAATGAAGCAAAGGCTCCAGGTACAGGATACAATAAAAATACAAACAGCTATTTAAGTCCAAACTAAATTTTTAAAAATCTGTAATGCTAAAATCAAGTAGAATGTTTTTTCTTGGTTCAGCCAAGTAGTTGTAACTTATGCTTTCAGAAAACAAGTAACAATCTTCTGAACCCAAAGAGATAACTGGCGCCTGAAATCTGGCTGACACTGAGATGGCTGACGATGGCAATCTGGCATCCATCTGAAGGAGGGGGCTACCAAAGGGCTCAGGAAAGGGACTCCTGAATGTATTTCTTTGGTGGGGACACGGTTATATTTAAGAGCCACACCAAAGTTCTGTGAAGCAACTAAAGTAAAATCATCTTGATTTTTAAAAAGATTTTATATTTATCTTTAGAGGGGAAGGGAAGGAGAGAAATATCAATGTATGGTTGCCTCTTATGTGTCCCCTGCTGGGACCCGGCCTGCAACCCACGCATGTGCCCTGACTGAGAATTGAACATTGATCCTTTGGTTTGTAGACCTGCGCTCAATCCACTGAACTACACCGGCCAGGGTGATTTTTTAAAAATTAAGTTGAAATTATTTACCAACTTTCAGTGAAAAAATAAGAAAATGCATTAATGACGGTGTATTAAATGGCTAATTAATCTGAAAACCAAAAGGATTCCATGATAAAAATCCTACCAAGAGACAAGAGGATAAAAATGCAGTGTCACTGAAAAATGAGTAACATGCACGCCATCCATGCCCATGCCATCACCAGACTCCACACCTGTGCTGTGTGGGAAGCCTAACTGGACTTAGCCATAAATGTGCATATGGAATAGAGGATGGAGTGCTAGAGAGCAGGGGATGAAGTTTTCACTTATAGTTGTAACAACATTCAAGTTGGATGGCACCAAGAGGTAATTTCCCAATTTCTATTTCTGAGATAAAATCCTGAGCAAGGGGGAAATTAAGTGATGAGCCAAGGTTGTTCTTTCCAATGTTCCCAAATGGTATCACTTCTATTTCATTAATTCATTCAGATAACTATATAAAAGTTATTGTATTAATCATCATTCTTCATAAATACAATTTTTAAGAGGAATATTACTTATAAGATTATATAATCAACCACACTTATCTTGCAAATTAGAGTCCAGATAACTAATTACCCATATGTGTAATGCAGACACTTTTAAGATTTAAATCTCAGTCATTTCACATTTACTATATAATAATCATTCTTAAAAATGTGCAACCACTTCATATGTCTCCTTTGACTAGGAAAAAAAATCGTTATAAATTGAAAGAAGTATGAAAGAAGAGTCAGAATGAGAGTTTAAGAGCTGTTTACTGACAAACGGCTAAAAATATTACCATACTTATAGGACGCTATCTTAACATACAAACATTCAAATTGACTCCAACTGGGTGACTTTATGTCTCTGGCTGGCCAGCCGCATACCTGCAGTGTAGCCTGGGCCCCAGCTTTCACGTTCTTATTTTCCTCTTCTGTCACACACCCTCTGCTCACAGCGCTTGTGAAGGAGTATGTTCGTCCCCAACTGGAAGATCGCTTATGACCAGAGCTTTCAGATGCAGTCTGTGGAAAATACAAAGAGGAAAAAACCATGTACTCAAATATTTAATTCCTCATGTTAACCAGAATTCATAAGCATAGGTTCTAGAAGGATAAGTTTTTTTCTCATTTTGCTCACTACTCTACTTCCAGCACCTAAACTATATAGCCTTTCAGTTAGCTATGTGTGAATAAACAAACATATAATGACTGAATGAGCATATAAACCTTTAAAATGTATGATTAATTCCATTTGCTTATCTATTGATTTTGACCTGTTGGCTAGTTATTAAAATGATTTCACCAATATTAAAAATTAAAATCATGTAATTATTAATACAGATATTTAAAAATAATAAGCCTTTTGTTACAAATATTTTTAATTGTTGTTAAGTGCTATGACAAATACCTATTTTTAGAAATAATATTTCTCAGGCTTTCAAAATAGCACACCAGAAATATAGATTTGACTGAAGTTTCTTTTGTATTTCAAAAAGAGGTCACACTCTGTTGTTTTATATTAATCCAGCCTGTAGCTTTATCAAACACAGACTAAGAGGTCCATTCTGAGAGCACCCACTCTCTAAGAACAGTACCCAGCCCACAGTGAGGCTTACTTATGGTAGAGAAAGCACTCATTATAGGGCTAGTCTTTTCAAGTGTGTAATATCCTGACTGCTTCTAGAACAAGCCACTACATAAGTAAAGGCTGCCAAAACATTCTAAATTTAGTTTCAAGTGTTATTTAAACATGTCAATGACAAGGAAGTGACATTTTTAGGCTCATTTGGAGATGTGTAAAATATGACGGTTTATTTAGTAACTCTTATGCAATGGTGACTAACAAAGCTGCAATGCACATGTGGACCTAGCCTGAGAGTTAGATAACCAATGATCTTGAATAGAGCACAGACACAGCCTCACTGAGACAGGTCCTCAGGACTGTCTCAGCAACTTGAGAGTATAGGAGATGACAGAAGAGATCAACCTGCCTAGGATCTATGACTTAGTAGGTATACTTTACTAAAAACTTTTTATACATTTTATATTTGTGTGTGTATACATATGTGTATATTTCCCAACTGAAACCAAAGATAAAATATTACCTCCCTGCTTTCAGTCTCAGAAAATCCTAATTTTTCAGCATCTTCTTCAGTAACTTCCTTTTTATCTGGTTCCTCCATGAACACAGGTTTGTCCTGGAGGATCCATTTTCTGTATACTTGAACTACTTTCCTTGTTACAGCTATGTCACAGGAAGGCAACAAAAATGCCTGAAATGAAAAGAGAAAACTGTCCTTAACTCCACATAAGGTCAGATCACTACAGAGACATTCGACAGACATTTCTAGTCACCGTCAGCAATTTCAGACTTTCCTTTAAAACATATAGCAAGTAATACACTACACAGGCTACATATTTTTGTGGATACAAAACTTCTCTAAAGAAAAAAGCATTTTCATACTTGGGCCAGAAAATATAATGCAATTAAAAATAACTTCTATATTCTGAATAAGTTTTCCACAAAATGAAGACCTATACAGATAGTCTAATTAGCAATATAAATAATAACAACTGTATAACAGGGAACTTTTCCCAAAGAATCAGATATAGACTTAAGATAACTAACTAGCACAGCCAGTTGCAGCCAATTGTCACATCTCTTCCCAACTCCATATTCAGTGACATCCCTATTGGTAGCTTGAATTAGCCAAGGTGAAAGTATTTATACCCCAGAAGTCTGCCAAAGATACCATTTGTTTTTGCTTTTATTTTCTTGTCTTTGCCTTTCTTTTTGTCTTTCTTTTCCTTCCTTCTTTCTTTCCTTCCTTCCTCCCTCCTTCACTTTTTTGAGAGCCAGTTGTTCAATATTTACCAGCACACCACTGTGTAGAGATACCAATGGTAATGACAGCACCGGCCAGTTGTAGCATTATGCATATTTAGTACACTTGATTAAGGAACCCTCATATATCTACACAAGATTTTGATTTAATGTAGTAAATTTCAAAACTGTAAAGGGAAAATACATTTACATTTGCCTTTTTAGTATCAGCTTTAAGAAATACTTCTGTATAGGGGCTGAACACAAAGAAGTACTCAACATGCCAATGAATGCTTTAATTCCACAGATGAGAAATTAAGATGAGACTCAAAACAACTGAGATATTTTTCCAAGGTTATAAAGTTAATAAGCAATGAATCCATATCTTGATCTCAAGTTTTGGAGATTGTTTTAATACCATCCTAAAGCTTCATGCTTCAGGACCCAGTTAGAGGCAGAGTTCAATGCAACAATGGTTTATGTAATATATAAATATCTATAGGCATTGGTCACGTCTCAAGAAATTCCAAAATAAAGAAGTTTCTGTTATAACAAAATTGCAACATATCAATGTATCAAATATTCTGATGTGTGCTGCAAGAAAGATGAACAAAAGCAGAGTGTGACAAAAGTATACTGGTGTCCCACTGTAACTTTTTACAAAATTTTATTACAAATATTTTCACACGGGCAAAAATTTCTAAGACTTTTACTATGATTACCCATATACCCATCCCCTAGGCTTCACCACTAGCATTTGCTGTATTTGCTTTACACACATCTGTCAATATATCATTGTATCTATCTTTCTTTTAATTCATTTAATTTTTGATGCACTTCAAAGAAAGCTACAGAAATCAGCACCCCTAAACATTTCAGTATGTATATCACTGATGAGTTCAAAATTAATTATCATAGTTAGGTAAAATTTATAAACAATAAAATGCACAAATGTTAAGTGGAGCATTTGATGAGTTTTGACAAATGCAGACAATGATGTAACTCAAATCCAACAGCAAGGTATATCACATTATCCTCCTTCCAGAAAGCAAATATAAATTCTCTCTGGATAAAAATAATAATGAAACCAAAATTATTTGTATGAACAATCTAGCTAGTATAATATGTAGCATATAAATAAAAAGTCAGAAATATTTGAAAATAAGTCAATATTAACAAAACAGTAATAGATAATAGACAATTTAAAAATACAAATATCAAGATAAAGTATCAGAAAAACATGTAAAAGGAGTTGAAAAACTAAACTGAAATGAAAAACTCAGAATGAACACAGCTGAAGAGAAAATGAGATAAAATATATCAGAAGAAAACATCCAGAGTGAAGCTTGACTAACTTGGCTAACTCAGAAGAGAAGGTAAGAGAGAATACAATGAAAAGGTTACCCTATACATGGCTAAAGATGCAGAGGAAAGGTTAGTAAAAGGAGCTGAAATAATGTTTAAAAAAAGAATGGGAATTTTGCCAAAATTGTTAAGAGATATCAAGCCATAGACTCAAGAATCACAAAATAACACATGCAGTATAAATACAAAGTACACTACAGTAAAACTGCTGAAAACCAAAGAAAATCAGAAAATCTTAAAAGCATCCAGAGAGAAAAGGGCACATTTATTCTAAACAAGCAATCAAATGACTCAGCATGGCTTCTCAAAAAATAAAGGAAGCCAGAACCATGAAACAAAAGAGTCAATGTACAGAAGGCAGACAGCTGCCGATATAGCGTTTGACATCCTAAAAGAATATATTTCTAAAATGAAAGCAGAATAGAGACATTTTCACATAAGAAAATAAAAATTTTACCAGGAGATCTGACCTAAGGGAAATACTAAAAGTTATTTTATTTTATGCAGAAAGAAAAGAATACTGGGTCACAGATTTGGAAAGGGATAGAATGTAATAAAAAAGTAATTATTTAGATAAATATAAGTAAATAATACATATAAATATGAATAAAATAAATAAAATTGTGTAATTATAGTACTTCTGAAAGAAATTATATATATATTTATAGATAGGTAAGACATACTACACTAGCTATTCATAACATGGAATTCAAATACATAACAACAGCACAAACTGAAGAGTAAATAAAAGTGCATATAAAAGGGCGAAAGTTGAAATTAATGCTAGATTTTTAAGTTATAGATGTGGGCTGTCAACCATTAGAATATAATAAATGAGTGCGAAAATACTAATCTGATGAAGAAAAATGGTATGCTGCTAAAAACAACACCCTGAAAGAATTCAAGACAACTAAAAAGTAGAAAGACAACGAACTTAAACATAATTATATCAGTTGTTATGTTAAATGGAGCTGATTGAGTAATGTTCCAAATGAAAGTGGAATAACTCTCAAAAGGAAAGAAATTATAACACTGAACTTTAAAAAACACTATATGCCATTTATAAGAGGACATCAAAATACACTGACATGTGTAGGCTGAAAATAAAAAGTTAGGAAAAGCTATGTGAAAGGCTATGTGATGCAAACACTAACTGAAAGAAAACCAGTAGAGTTATATTAAGAACAGGCAAGATCAACTTTGAAGAGGGGGGGAAAAAGCATTACTCGAGAAAAAGAGAGATATTTCTTAATGATAAAAGATTCAATTCAAACTAACAATATTTCTAAGTCTGTACCACAACTAATAATTATGCCTCAAATATATGCCAGCAAATATTGACAGACTGAGGAAAAAAACAGACAATCCAGTCAGACTAGGATCTTCTCAGTAACTGGTAGAACAGCAGACAAATAATAAGGACAGAGGAGAGCTGAACACATACCTCATGCCTTCTCACTACATCCTCCACATTTCAACCTCTCATACTTTTCATCTCTCTCTGAGGTACATTCAGGATAATAATTTCTTCAGATATGTCATCCAATTTATTCTCTGTTCAGCTGTATCTAATATGCTATTAAAATTATTGAGTTTTTCCTTTAATGTTTCAATTGTTACAATTTTTAATGTCAAAAGTTCCATTTTTCTACTACTCAAATTTGTTTAGTATTTGTGTAGTTCAATCATCTTCACTTTAGATCTTAACTATTTCAATTCAAATTAAATCATTACTGCCCATGTATGTGTATAACAGATGCACTGCTGTGGCAACATTCCCTCCATTAATGGAGGGAATATGGTAAATTTTTACATAGTGGGCTATTATGATAAAAGATTTTGGCAGCCGGATATATACAGTATAGACTAGAAAGGGATGACACAGAGGTGTGGGGCTCCAAGAAGCATGCTGCTCACCATGGTCAAAAGAAAAGGAGAGAAAAGGAGTGAAAAGTTTCCTGCATAACTTGGCCAGTCAGTGATAGTCACAGGAGGAGAGGATAAGGAGCCTAGGAGGGCTAAAATTAATATGCACCCAAGAATGAAGGTCCCTCCTTTAAAGAAGCAGTCTAGTTGGGAAAAGTTGATGTTAGGGAAGAAACAAGATAAATTTTGGCCTTGTGTTCATGAAGATAGCACAGGAATGTCAGATGAGATCACGAGTGGGCATTTTAAAGAGAAATGTGGGATTAAAAAGCAAGGTCTAAACAACAACAAAAGACATGCTTAGAAGTCATATGCAACAGCAGTTGCTGGCACTAGACAAGCAGTTGAAGGCCCCAAAGAGGCAAGAGTGGACTTATAAGAGAAAGAGCTCAAGCCCAGAATTTTGGTCAACTCTTGTAATTTGGGGTGAAACAAAAAGAAAGAAAAAATGAGACAGAGAAGACACAGTCAGGAAGCGAGAAGAACCAAGGCAGTGCCAGGCCACATAATCAGAAAAAAATATATATTATAAGGGGAATTTTAATTACAGATTAAACAAATATTTTCTTAAGCAAAATTTTACTTTCATTAAAACACAAAATATAATAAACCTCTAGATTGTTGTGGATTATGCTGGAACTTTCATTTTTGGTTGACTTTTATTTAATGGAAGTCTCAGAAATAAAAGAGTTCATCATTTACTACCTGGAAATCTGTTCTCTTCACAGTGCATATGCATCACTCGTGTGTACAGAATTTGCTTCTTTTCAACATTCAGGGGCCTCAACCTCTGCTCTGGTACATGGATGAAACAACCATTCCCCCATTATACACACATATGCACAAAAGAGCCATGCTCTCTGTTTCCAAGGCACCAGTACCAAGACATAGGTGGCCACTGGCTCTAACCCACACTACAGAGCTGCTGTCCTCTTAATTATATTGAGGGTTTCCTTGCTCTGTCAGATTGCTACCGCTCAGTTTCGCCACAACAGCAACATGATCACCTTTTGGGCCACACTATTCTTTGGGGGGTGAGGGTAGGGTAGCTGTCCTGTGTTTGTAGAATATTTAACATTTCCAGCGGTTACCCACTAGCTGCCAGTAGCACTGTCCTTTCCCCAGCTGTGACAACCAAGTATCTCCAGACACTGCCAAACATCCCCTCAGGAGCAGAATCAGCGTTGGTTGTTGCTCATGGTAATCTTTCCCTGGGCCTCCGATCACCTCTGTCCTCTTACTTGCTTGCACCCTGTTGCCCTCCTCACCCACCTTTTTTCACTTATGCCAGAAATACTTGTATTCTATGTGCATGCCATAGGCTTTTTGCAGGGCAAGTACAACTGTCTGCAGCAGTCTTGAGCTCCTCAGAGAGAATTTTAGGCCCTTGGAACAACACCAAATCTGGGTTCTTCTTTCCTTGTTCATTTGTTCAAGCATATTCAGGAATGGCTTTCCTCCCACCTACTTCTGGTTTTGAAGTTTGTTATGGAAACATGAGGTATTTTGGAATGATTTTGCTTAAATATAAAATTTTCCCTCCACATATAGTAATTCTACAAAAATACTATTAAAAAAATTCACAAATGAAACAAAATCACAACACTCCAGGTGACATATTAAAAGCGGGTAAGAAAGATTATTCAGTCATATAATTTGACCCAACTCATCAATACTATTTCTTGAAGTATTATGAATAAAAGAACAAAAATCTTTTCAATGCATGAACACACACACTAACCTGGCGAAATACTTCATTCACAAAATTGATATAACCTCGAGTTGACAAAAGAATCCGCTGCACCATTTCATACACGGTTCGGTGCTCTTCTTCAATGCTACAAAGGCTAGAGTTGCTAAGTCTCCGGTCTGACAAGGTTCTGCTGTTAGAATGGTTTTTGTCTGGCTCTGCAGGTCCATCACTCTCCAGCTCTGGCGCCCTCTCTTGCACCACACCACCACCAACAGTCTGGAAGAAAGTTATTACCACTTCTGAGTCAGCTTCTTTGGCACTCAAGAACACCGAGAAAAACTGAAGACTTGCTTTATTTTAAAGAACTCTGGTTACAATCAACTTGACAACAAGCTGGAAACCAGCACTGCAAGAAGCACAAGGGACTCCAGGACCTCTATTTACCAACTTTCCAATTCACCAGCAGACCCCTCCCCAACTCAGTTATTTTAATAGGAAAACTACTAAATTATTATAGAAAGGATGGCTGTGACATTTTACCAACCTAAATCATTTTATTTATGTTTGTAAAATCACAGAATAAATTAACATGTGAATGAATTGATATCATCATCTTTGGTCTCCACACTTAAGCATTTATTCTATATATAGTTGTAGAGATTTGATAATTCATTAGATATTTTGAAGCCACAATGTTGCATGCATCATTTGACTCACAAGACTACATGATAACTTGATAGGGAGTGCCTAGATCTTTAAAGGGTATGAAAACCTTTATCTGAGTTTTATATCTCAGATCAAACGTAACTGAAATATTTATAAAACTTTAAATATCTAGGAGACTATAAGAACAGAAAGAAATAAAATAATTCATACAGTGGGTCACAAAGTTTAACACTGGTTTCTGCTCTCATTTTCCCAGAGAATTCAATGCTTCCTCCAAATGCATATAATTTTACTTTATTTTTGTAAATTTCAGTATTACTCTTTTAAGTGCCAAAGTAACAAACCTAAATACCACTAGAATTCTACCCACTGTAAATAAGAAGTAACAAGATATGAGTAGTACAAAACAGTCATTTCAGTAACTACCTTGGACAGTTTGAAAGCAAAGTAGACATTGAAATAGGGAAAATTAATGGAATATTATATTTATAATTTCTCTCTTCATGCCTTAACTATTAAGCGTATGTGGCTTATCAAAGGCACTGTCACACACTGAGATGAGGTACCTAAAGAAATTATTTCATCTTTTTGATGGATTAACTGTATTCCACAAAAAACTTAAATTTTACTCATTTTTACTAATATATACTTTATTTTAACTGGTAAAGCATGGAGGCTGGATTAAGTTTAATGCCTCTTGAGGCTCAATAACCTGTGACTTTTTATTTTATTTTTATTTATTTTTAGAGAGAGGGGAAGGGAAGGAGAAAGAGTGGGAAAGAAACATCAATGTGTGGTTGCCTCTCATGTGTCCCCCAGTGGGGACCTGGCCTGCAACCCAGGCATGTGCCCTGACTGGGAATCGAACAGCGATCCTCTGGTTCGCAGGCCCACGCTCAATCCACTGAGCTACACCATCCAGGGCAACCTGTGACTTTTTGATTAACAACTCCCATTTTGCCCATAGGCCAAAAAAGGAAAGAAAAAACATACACACAATATATATGTAGCAAATTAAAAATAGCCACAAATTCTTTGACATTCTTTGTGTAGAGAGATGAAGTTTATGTCCCCTCTCTTTGGTCCACACCAATTGTGTGACTGTGTTAGCCAGCAGAATGGAGTAGAAGTGACCTGTGACAGTATCAAACGCAGGCCCCAAAGGTTGACTGTCACCCTTCCCAATCTCTTGGAACATTTGTTCTTGACGCTCTGAGCACACAGGAAAGAAGTCCAACTACTCTGACAAATACTACATGGAAAGATAGGTCTGGCTAAGCCCAGCCTTCCAAATGCACCCACCAAAGTAACAGACATGTGAATGAAGTCATTTTGGACCTTCCAGACTAGCCAGCTGGCAGCTGAAGACTATACTACCTACCCAATGACCTCAGTTAATGCCACATGACACATAAGAACTGTCCAACCAAATTCTGCCCAAATTCCTGAACCAGTAAGTAAAATATGTAGAATGATAAGAGTTTATTTATTTAAGCCAGCAAGTTTTGAGCTCATCAGATAACTAATTTAAAAAACAGCATTTAGATAACTAAAATAATGCAGATAAAGAACTACGTTTAAAGGTACCCAGTCATTCAAAAAAATTAGTTCTGTTATTCAAATAGAACACAATGGTAGCATAGTGGATTTCCTATCATGCCTTAATTAAAATTAGTTGACCCTTGAACAACATGAGAGTTAGGGACACCCACCTGCCAGAGTCAGAAACCTGCATTTAACCTAAGATGCTCCCCCAACCCCTGCTCCATGTGCAGATTCCCAAGAAATGAAAAATAATGTTCGCCTGGTAAAACAATGCTTTTCTTAGCCTCCTCTAGACCACACTCCTTCCACAAAAGGCTGCTTTCCAAAAGCATCAACATGTTTTGACAGACAATTATAATTACAGTAAGTAATGAGAGTGAAAACAAACTGATAACCCAAGTCTATTCATTTCAGGTCTCTTTCAGGAAGATTAACTGTGCAAGCATGAGTAAGAATTAACCACAGCAGAAAGAGGTCCATTTTCTACCCACTACAATCAGGCTGGAATCCCCATTATTATTTAGTATTAGCTAACTTGGTGGTAAATGCAAGGATGATTCTTACTCTTTGGTATTTGATGAAGGGAAAGACAAATCTGCTCAGACCCTGCACTGCCGGGGCTCAGGGAATTGCTTGATACAGACTACCTTTTAATCCTTCCCCTCAACCCTCTCTACTACTCTGGTTTCTCCTTAACCCATACCTCAAAGGGAGAGTTGTGCACACTTACGGTAAGGCTCAATGAGGACATGTACAAAGTAGGTGTGAAACAAGAAAATGCAACTGCCATTCTGTTGGTGATGCCTGATGCCACTCAATTCCCATCATGATGTGCATGCATGGTGGGGGACGGCCTACATTTGCCTTGGAGAGCTTAAGAACACAGAAAGTATTAAAGTGGTAATCAACAAATGAGTTTGTACAATATATTAACCCCTGTAGGGCTGACAATTTGTGTCATTCGCTTTTCCTAACTGTTCATCTCATGGAATACAACAATTTCAGAAAATTCACAGCCCCATGAATCATTATTACAGAGCTAGTTCAGTAAAAGTGATACTTCAATAATGTAACTAAAAAAGTTATCATATAAATAAATGTGATCAACTGTCTTACCATCTCAAACTTTCTTTTCATTCACTAATGGAATTCTATGGGTTTTAATGTTTAATTAATGTACATATAGAACTACTAAAACAACAGTTGCCACAATTAAAATTACCACTCTGCTTTTTCTATTACACATTGAAATACTACTGTCTTATAAAAAATGAATCACTAAGAAGTAATTCTTCACTGAAAACATTTTCAGCTAAAATGATGAACAAAGACTGTTCAGATATAAAAGGGGGTGTTGCTATCATTGCCAAGATATTATAGATATATGGGATGTACTTTTGTTCTCCCATGAAAGACACCAGATTCTCTCAGTGGAAAATAAGCTAAGTCTAGAAAATGAACTAATACCTTTCTTCCTTGGTGAAAACTACTGTCTAATACTACTTTTAAATCAAGGGGAAGTAAATTCTCTTTGGGAAAAAACACACACACCAAAAAAACCCTCCTTATGCATGATTTTTAACATACTAATAGTGGCCAAAGTGTGAATTCTATTTAGAAGCAGCACTTAAAATAAAGTTTTTTAAAGGGCTTTCAAAAGAGCAGTATATTCTTTGAAAAAAATTTTGGACCACCTGACTTAGACAGTGATGTTCACTTTACATGAGTAAAATTATATTAAATTTGAAATTCTGAACAAAAGTATTCAGGAGAGAAAATGCAATTGCATGTGCTTTTATTCCTGCAACTTCATTTCCAAAGGTTAAGATTCAGTTGTTTAAACTGCTTCTTTTTCTCATGTATAATGTAAATGAACTGAAGAACACTGGACTCACATGTGAGATAAGGTGGGAACCACAGCTGTAAGGCAGAGAACATAATACAGCAGACAACTGGTCAGCAGAATGACCCCCAAAAGATGTCCACACCTTAACCCCTAGAACCTCTGAATGTTAATGTTAAGGGGTGAGGAGAAGAGCCGAGATGTTTGCTTAAACTAGATGTTTATTTTTAGACTTAGGCAGAAAACCACACCTGGCCGTGGGCAGATGTTTCAGGGAGTTTAGCCAAGGCCTTGAAGTAATCTCTCGGACACCCGTTAGGGGAAAATTTTTACCTCAAGACATGGCCTGAGCTCTACGATCCAATCATCAGTAAGAGCTCGAGCTGCTCACAAGCTCCACGGTCCACTCATTAGAAAGACCACGAGCCCTGACATAGCCCCGAGCCAATTGCTAACCGCCACCCTTGCTTCTGTGAACCCGCTTGCTTGCCCGCCCCTATAAGAGCCCTAACCTGTGAGCGCTTGGCGCGACTCTCATTTGCAGCCATTCTGGCACTCGTGTGTCTCCGGAGGCACCCCGAGAGTTCGCCCCTGCGCAGGTAAAACTTTGAAACTTTGGCCAATAAAACACCTCTGACTACCCAGCAGTCTCCGACCCTTCTTGCTCGCAAGGACGGGATGTAACAGTTAACTTATGTGGCAAAAGGGACTTAGCGGATGTGGTTAAATTAAGGATGCTGAGATGGAGAGATTATCCTGGGTTATCTGTGTGGTCCCAGGGTAATCACAAAGATCATAAGGAGGAAGGAAAATGAGACACGGAAAAAGTGATATGAAGATGGAAACAAAGGGAGAAAAGATGATGTGATGAGAGACCATGAGCACAGAAATGCAGGTAGCCTCTATAAACTGGATAAGGTAAGAAAACAAATTCTGCTCTAGAGCTCCAGAAGGAACACAGACCAGCCAACACCTTGGTTTTATTCTACTAAGACTGACTTTGGACTTCTGAATTCCAGAACAGCAAGACAATAAATTTGTGCTGTTTCAAGACACTAAGTTTGTGGTAATTTGCTGTAGAGGTACGAAGCAACTAATATAACAGCTTACTATGAAGTGTTTCAATAGTCTCTACAGCAAGAGTGGCATTTCTATGCATAGCCATCTGCAGGGTGTGGTAGCACTGAGCACAACGGTTGTCTGCCCAGCATCCGTTCCCACTCCCTGACAGAACCCCAGGGCTTGGCGTGCCTCTTCCCATGAAGCCTACATTGACTCAAAAAAGAAGCTGACCCAATCTATAGTTACCAAGGGAGCAACTGTGTCCCTCCCTCCTGCAGCATTCTCACACCCAGCTTTAAGCTAATCAGTGCCTTGTTAGGTTCTAGGAGTGGACAGGTAACCTAAATTGTACCACTCAGACAAAAGGAATGGCTTTGTATTTTCAGATGTCTCTAAACATGAACAAGGAGCATAATGTCCCATCTTGGAATTATTGGGAAAGCTGAAGACACATTTGCCAGAGGGAAAAGAGAAAACCACAGAGAGCATGAGTGAACCTTATTGTCACCCACACTTATTATTCACTTCTTTTTCATGAGATTAAAATATTTCTTTTTATGTTTTAGTTCAGTTTCAGTTCTGGTCCTTTTTCTGTTACAGTGACAGAATCACCCTAATTTATTGAGGATCTCAAACCTTTATGACACTAAAAAATATAATAAAAGTAGATGACTCACAAGTGTGAAGAGTCAACTAAGGGAAAAAATTATCACCTTGAAGCAGTAGTTTATTTGTTATTCTTGCTACTTATCATCATCCAAGTGAGAAACTTATTTTCAATAAATACAGGTGGTGGTTTTTCAAAAGTTATAAACCAGGTAGGAAAGTTACATCCTTTAAGTGGACTATTTTGAACTGACTGAAAAACTATACAGATGTGATATGATGTAAAATTTATCAGTTCGATTGAGTTTCTTTTATGTAACTTCATATGAATTTTTGTCTGGCTGACTGGTGAATACGTCTCTTATTATGTCTCAGAACAAAATATGTTTCCCTGACTGCTGGTGAGATCCAGGCCCATTTTTATTTTCTCTTTTGTGAACTTTCTTTTACCTCCTTTATCCATTTTTCAATTGGGCCGTTTGTCTTCTTATCAATTTGTAGGCACTCTTTACATAGCCATGATGAAGAACTGTATGCCAAGAAATTTGAAAACCTAGGGGAAATGGACAAATTTCTAGGAAAATACAATCTTCCAAAACTCAATGAAGAAGAAGAAGCAGAAAGCCTGAAAAGACCAATAACAGCAAATGAAATTGAAGCAGTAATCAAAAATCTCCCGAAGCATAAAAGCCATGGAACAGATGGTTTCACAGGAGAATTCTACAAAGCATTTAAGGAAGAGCTAACCCCTATTCTTCACAGGCTATTCCAAAAAATTCAAAAGGATAGAAAACTCTCAAACTCTTTTTATGAAGCCAGCATCATCCTAATTCCAAAACCAGATAGAGACACAACAAAGAAAGAAAACTTCAGGCCAATATCCCTAATGAATATAGACGCTAAACCCCTCAACAAAATATTGGCAAATCACATCCAACAATATATCCAAAAGTACCAATGGCATATTTCACAGACATAGAACAAACACTTCAAAAATGTATATGGAACCATAAATGAGCCCCAATAGCAGCTGCTATTTTGAGAAAGAACGAAGTAGGTGGAATCACAATACCTGATATCAAATTGTATTACAAGGCCACTGTAATCAAAACAGCCTGGTACAGGTATAAAAACAGGCACATAGACCAATGGAACAGAACAGAGAGCCCAAAAATAAACCCAAGCCTCTATGGCCAACTAATATTCGACAAAGGGGGCAGTAACATAAAATGGAGTAAAGATAGCCTCTTCAACAAATGGTGTTGGGAGAACTGGACAGCTATGTGCAAAAAAATGAAACTTCAGCACAGACTTACACCATACACCAAAATAAATTCAAGGTGGATAAAAGACTTAAATATAAGCCATGAAACCATTAAAGACCTAGAGGAGAATATTGGCAGGAAAATCTCAGATATTTCACGCAGCAACATTTTTACTGATATGTCCCCTAGAGCAAGGAGAATAAAGGAAAGAATAAACAAATGGGATCTCATCAAAATAAAAGCTTCTGTGTGGCTAAAGATAACAGTATTAAATTAAAAAGAACCAACTGTATGGGAAAACATATTTGCTAATGATACCTCAGACAAAGATTTAATCTCCAAAATATACAAAGAGGTCACACAACTGCATGCTAAGAAGACAACTAACCCAATTAAAAATGGGAAAAGGACTTGAACAGACACTTCTCCAAGGAGGACATACAGAACATCCAGAGACACATGAAAAGATGCTCAATATCGCTAGCTATCAGAGAGATGCAAATTAAAACCACAATGAGATACCACTTTACACTGGTCAGGATGGCTATCATAAACAAAGCAACAAACAACAAATGTTGGAGAGGTTGTGGGGAAAACGGGACCCTAGTTCACTGTTGGTGGGATTACAGACTAGTACAACCATTATGGAAAACAGTATGGAATTTTCTCAGAAAAATGAAAATAGACCTGTCTTTTGACCCAGCATTCCACTGCTAGGATTATATCCTAAGAACCCTAAAACACCAATCTCAAAGAACCTATGCACCACAATGTTCATGGCACAATTTACAATAGCCAAGAGTTGGAAGCAACCTTGGTGCCCAGCACTAAATGAATGGATCAAAAAATTGTGGTACATATACACAATGGAATTCTATGCAGCAGAAAGAAGGAGCTCCTACCCTTTGGGACAGCATGGATGGAACTGGAAAGCATTATGCTGAGTGAAATAAGCCAAGTGTTGAAAGACAAATACCATATGATCTCACCTTTAACAGGAAGCTAAACAACAAAACAAACAAGCAAGCAAAATAAAAACAAAGACACTGAAATAGAGAACAGGGGGACAGCAACCAGAGGGCAGAGGGGAGGGAATTTAAGGGGAAAAAGGGGAGGGATTTAGAGGAACAAGTATAAAGGACACAGGGACAATAACTAAGAGGGGTGGAAATGGGAGGGAGGTGGGGAGCATGAGGCGGGGTGGGCTGGGATGGGAGAAATACACAGAAAACTGTATTTGAAAAATAATTAAATTAAAAAAATTTAATAAAATTTGTAAGCACTCTTTACATAGCCATGATGTTAAAAATGCTTTTCACAGTTTACTGCTTGGGTGTAGCTTTATGCTATCTTTTTGACACATAAATCTTTTTCTATTTTTTCAAATAAAGTCAAATCTAATTTCCTCCATGGCTTATGCGTTTTATCTCTACCTAAGATGGTCTACTACTTCCCAAATTTATACATTCCCCTATATTTCTCCCCAAGTTCTTTACCATTTTGTTTTTATAAATCAATCTGACATTTGCTTATGTATGTGATATGAAACAAGGAAGTTCTGAGAGAGACAGACAGCCGGGTTCTTTTAGCTTCAGAGTTCTAGGTTACATTGCCTATTCAATGCTAATGTAGGTCTCATTCCTTTGAAGAAACTTCTAGTTTCTGTCTGGAAGATAGTTTTTTCTTAATCCCTAAAATTCAAAAGCCTAGATTTGTGTTTGTTTAGCTAATTCTTCCTGGGACTCAAAGGCCTCTTAGTCTAAAACACGACCTCTTTCTTGGTTCAGGTAAACTTTTCTTTATACTACTTCAATTATTACTTCTCATTTTTTTCTCTTCTGCCCTCACAATATTTGCATGTTAGGTATGAATCTGCCCATAACTCTTATTTATTTCTAATTTCCATGTATTTGAATATTTTGCTCAGTGTTATAGGATATTTCTCCAGAAAACTAATTTCGTTCTCAGCAGTGATCATTACCATCTTTGGTTGTACCTACTAAGTTTTGTATTAAAAAATTTAAGGTTTTTAAAAACATTCGTCAAGTCTTTTGCTGTTTGTACTGATATTGTCTCCCCATTAGACTTCTTTAAAAATAAGTTTTTTCCAGTTCTTCAGTCAGTTCAGTGGGGCCAGATGGTCTGGACCTCAGTTTAGTACTCCTTCATCAAGGTGCCAATTACCCCTCAGGTGTGTGCACTTTCCCAAGTCAGGCCTAAGTCACACTTCTAGGGAACTCTAAGGCAAACCTCCACTACAAAGACCACACTTCCTGTCCCTGTTCTTAGAAACAACAACAACAACAAAAAGCCCTCACAAAACCATAACTCTTCTGTGAAGTGGTTGCTCTCTGACTCTACAAGTGATCCTGCTCTACCTAGCACTAAGTCCCTAAGGAACTCAGCATACTGGTTAAGCCTCATTTGCATGTGACCAAGGCCAGCAAGAACCAGGTCCCATACAAGAAGTCTTCACCTAACACCTCAAAGAGAGGCAGGTTTCTCTTCCAGGAACCCCAACAAGGCTCAACAATCACCCCAAAATCTTGAGCTGCTGAGCTATTCTTCCCGAGTTCCAGAGAGTACTTGGCAGTCTCACAGAACTTCTCCACAGCTTATCTGCACAATTCCTAATGGCCTTCCAGATACTGGGGACTGGAAAAAAAACAAGACAGGCCCTGGTCTAATGCTCAGAAGTCACTGGACCCGAGTGAAGAGGGAAAAATGAGATGGAGCCAGGAGTGTGGGAACAACCATCTTCTCAGAATGCCTCCCCTCACCCTCAAGATTGCCTCATTCATCATGGCAATGCCAATAGAGTACAAGTGCTTCTAACTCAAGCTTCTTATGAAACCTTAGCATTTTAAACATAGAGTACACAAAGAAACTGAAGTCTTGTAACCAACAACCTCTAATAATCAAATACCTTGTATGTGTCAATGTGTGATATAACATACATATGAAGATATAAAAAGATGATGAGTGACATACCTGCACAATTTTAGGCAACACATCGCCTCCATTTTTAGTGTTTTGTGCTGTAGTTAGATACTTTTTTTCCAAAAAGAAAGTTACAATCCACTTAATAAAAACAACACGTGCTGCCATGTATGGAATTTTGGTACTGTAGATGTTTTCATTGTCTCGAACTGTAGTAACATACACTGGCTTTGGTCTTAAATGGGGGATATCTGGAAGAATAAAGAAGACATCATTACTTGGTGAATCTTGACATTATGTAACTTCTACAAATATTTCAGTTTCTAAGTAAACAGACATATATTTGGTTGTATGAATAGCAACTAAGATTAAAGAACCAGAAATGATTAAAAACGTCATCTTTTGGAAGGTTTGTTTCTAACTGCCTCATAATCTGACCAAGATGGAGTGATGGTGACCGTTATTACTTACAGTTGTGGTATACAACTACAGAAAAACTAATCTAATAACTCTTCTTCATAAAATTAGAGAAATTACATGAGATTATAATAGTGAAAATCTTCTCACATACATTATAGCCAATTAAATCTTACTTTATGATAAGAAGAAATATAAAACCAGAAATATACAGACATTTCTTCATCATTTTATTTTACTATCCAACACTACCATAATAAAAGCAACTTTAGTTTTATATCCTTTTCTCTTTAGATGAATCCAAGAAAGTAGAATCAGTATAATCTACTTTATAACTGAGAGAATTCAGAAATTCATGTTTAATTTTTGAGGTATTAGACACCACCATTTCCAAATTATTAATAAGAGGTCTTTAAATTCCATTATCAATATGAAAATTATGTGACACTGGATTTGAGATAACTACATTCTGTAGTCCACCTCCTACTAACTTTTGTAAATGCTGAGGGAACTGCATAAGGTATAAATGCAAATAACTTTTAATTTCAGAATGCTAACAATATACTGTTTTCTACAATAGATATAGACTACTGATTAAATCAGAAATAAAATTTGAAAGAAAACATGCATATACATTGCCAAAAAAATACATAACATCGCAGTACCCTTAAAGTCAGTACAGCTTTCCAAATGCACCAAGTGTCATCTGTTTTCCCCTTGCTCAAGTGCATGTATGTGTGTTGTACACATAAACACCCACAGACAACTGAATTAGTTGTCCACATTCCCTAGATGGATTAATGTTTGTGGTGAATTTTCCCCTCTAAAAGTGTTCTTAATTATCCATTTTAACTAATTTCACCTGCTTTAAAATAAGAGGCAAAGGAAGATTTGCCTTACCTCCATCACACTAAGAGATGCTTCTGGCCTATGAACTCTCATTTTTTAAAGAAAAACTATAGAAGCTAAATGAGAAATTCCCTTATGTTTTCTCCCCTCTAGGCTTACCATCCCCAGGATGCCCAATTGTCCAAACATCTGTCCTTCCATAAGCAGCTGCTGCTAGATGAAAGATCCAGTAAAAAAGAAACTGTACAGTATGGGCAGTTGTATGGTCTGGGGTGGCCTGCCTATGACCACTGACTAAGGTCTGGGATAACCATATACCACCAGCACTAGCAAGAGAACACTTAAGGAAATGCAAGGTTTTTTTTCACATTAAAAGATTTTAATTATAATTGCACCAAAATAATCACAATTCACTTCAAATTATTTCTGAACACAGGAGCCATAGTACCCTTTTATAGCTATGAGTTGAGATACACCTTAGTTTGTACAAACACTTAAAACACTTAAAATAATTTATTACAAAATTTTAAGCACCTTGCAATAAAGTTAGCATTAAGTATAAGAATAAATTTACTATTTTACTTAAAAACAATCAAAGGTCACTTTGAAAGAGTCTGTACAGCTTCCCCATGGAAATCCTCTGCACATGGCTCTATAAGTACTTACCAAGTATAGGTTTGTAGATGTTTGTTAACTTAGTAAATGATGGGAATAAATGAGGAAGATAATACTTTCGAAACAATGTAAAAAGAAATTTAAAACCAGTATCTTGATTCTCCTTATTCTTCCACTCCAAGCTTGCAGCCTTGGGATAATATGTGGAAAAAATACATATATTTACATTTCAAATTAATGTATACTAAACTGAAAATGTTGTTAAAATTCCTACTGTAATCTAAAAAACTGACAAATAATATTGATAATCATGTAATAAAATCATATCTAAAAAGAGGATGATAAAAATGAGTATTTCAAAAGAAAACAGCAACTATGTTAAAAACAGCATTTTTACTGAGTATTAAAAAAAACCAATGTTGTCACTTCTTTGAAACTTGGTCTCCAACACCATGCCCCTATTTATCCACGTTCCTTGTAATGATTTAACACTCCTTATGCCCTTAAAACATCTAGTCAGATATAACAAGGTGTACATTTTATTTATTTATTTTTTAGAGAGAGAGGAAGGGAGGGAGAAACATTTCTGTTCAAGAGAAACATCAATTGGTTGCCTCTCCCACATTACCAACCAGCAACCTGGCCTGCAACCCAGGCATGTACCCTGACCAGGAATTGAACTGGTTGATCCTTTGATTTGCAGGATGATGCCTAACCCACTAAGCCACACCAGTCAGGGCACAAGGTGCTTTAAATTTTTTATTTATTTTTAATGTTTTATTGTTGGTCGATTACAGTTGTTCCAATATTCCTGTTGCTTTCCCCTGCCCGTACCCATATTTCCACACCCTGTTGTCCATGTCCCTGAGCCATTTATACTCGTTCTTTAACTAAATCCTTCCGCTTCCTTCCTCCCTTCTCCTTCTCCCAACTCCTCCTCTCTGGTCACTATTCATGTTTCTTGTTTCCATGCCACTGGTTCTATTTTGCTCATTTTCTTTCTTTTGTTCATTAGGTTCCACCTATAGGTGAGATAATATGGTATCTGTCTTTTGCCGCCTGGTTATTTCACTTAGCATAATACTCTCCAGTTCCACCCATGCTATTCCGAAAGTTAGTAGGTTCCTTATTTCTTTCTGCTGTGTAGAATTCCAACGTGAAAATGTACCATAGTTTTTTCATCCACTCATTTACTTATGGGCATTTAGGATGTTTCTAGCACTTGACCATTGTAAATAATGCTGTTATGAACACTGGGGTGAACAAGTTCCTTTGAATTGGTGATTCAGGATTCTTAGGGTATAATCCCAGCATTGGAACTGCTGGGTCAAAAAGCAGTTCCATTTTCAGTTTTTAATAAATTCCATACTGTTTTCCACGGTGGCTACACCAGTCTGCATTCCCACCAACAGTGCACTAGACTTCCCTTTTCTCCTCATCCTCACTAGTACTTGTTTGTTGATTTGTTTGTGATGGCCATTCTGACAGGTGTGAGGGGGTATCTCATTTGGTTTTAATTTGCATTTCTCTGATAGCTAGTGATGTTGAGCATCCTTTCATATGCTATGGGCCTTCTGTATGTCCTCCTTGGAGAAGTGTCTGTTCAGATCCTTTGCCCACTTTTTAATTGGGTTGTTTGTCTTCCTGGCATTGAGTTATATGATTTCTTTATATATTCTAGAGATCAAACCCTTGTCCAAGGTATTACTGTAGGCAAATATGTTTTCCCATATGGTTGGTTCCCTTTTCATTTTGATGCTGTTTCTTTGGCTGTGCAGAGCTTTTTAATTTGATGTAGTCTCAGGTGTTTATTCTGTCCTTTATTTCCCTTGCCCTAGAGCAAAAATATTGCCACGTGGGATACCTGAAATTTTGCTGCCTATGTTGTCCTGTAGGACTTTTATGGTATTGTGACTTACGGTGTTTTATCCATTTTGAGTTTATTGTGGTGTATGGTGTAAGTTGGTGGTCTAGTTTCATTTTTTTGCATGTACCATTCCAGATCTCCCAGCACCATTTGTTGAAAAGGCTATTTTTACTCCATTTTATGCTTCTGCCCCCTTTGTCAAATATTAATTGACCATAGAGACATGGATTGTTTCTGGATTCTCTATTCTATTCCATTGATCTGTGTGTCTGCTCTTATGCCAATATCAGACTATTTTGATTACAGTGGCCTTGTAGTACAGTTATTATCAGGTATTGTGATCCTTCTAACATTCTCCTTTGTCAAGATTACTGAGTCTATTTGGGGTCGTTTTTTGTTCCATTAAGCTATTTTAATTATTTTAATATATTTTATTGATTATGCTATTACAGTTATCCCACTTATTCCCCTCTGCCCTGCACCACCCCTCCCACCAGCATCCCCCTACCCCCACACCCAGTTCATGTCCACGGGTTGCACAATTAAGTTCTTTGGCTTCTACATTTCCCACACTATTCTTAACCTCCCCCTGTCTATTTTGTACCTACCATTTATGCTTCTTATTCCCTGTACATATTCCCCCCATCCTTCTCCCAACCCCTCCCTTCTGATAACTGTCCATGTGACCTCCATTTCTGTGATTTTGTTCTTGTTCTACTTGTTTGCTTCAACATATCATACAATAACAGCTTGGTAATGACAAATGCCTTTAACTTGACCTTATCTGGGAAGCACTTTATCTGCCCTTCCATTCTAAATGATGGCTTTGCTAGATAGAGTAATCCTGAATGTAGGTCCTTTGCTTTTCACGACTTTGATACTTCTTGCTTCAAAGGTTTGTTTAGAGAAATCAGCTGATAGTCTTATGGGAACTCCTCGATCACTCCTTTACTCCTGCTGCTTTTAAAACTCTCTCTTTATCTTTAATCTTGCATAACATAATTACCATGTGCCTTGGTGTGTGCTTGCTTGGGTCCAACTTATTTGGGACTCACTGACCTTCCTGGACTTCTTGGAAGTCTATTTCCTTTACCAGATTAAGGAAGTTCTCCATTTTGTTTTCAAATAAGTTTTCCATTTCTTGCTCTTCATCTTCTCTTATGGCACCCCTATGATTCACTTGTTCAAACATTTAAAGTTGTACCAGAAATTCCTAAGTCTCTCTGCAGTTTTTTGAATTCTTGTTTCTTCATTCTGTTCTGTTTGCAATTTTATTTCTTCCTTTTGCTCCAAATCATTGATTTGAGCCCCAGTTTCCTTTCCTTCCATGTTGTTTCCCTATATATTTTGCTTTATTTCATTTTGCATAGCTCTCACTTTTTCTTCTATTTTGCGACCATACTCAACCATTTCTGTGAGCATCCTGATTAAAAGTGGTTTGAACTCTGCATCTGATAGGTTGGCTGTCTCTTCATCACTTAGTTCTATTTTTGGAACTTTGATCTGTTCTTTCATTTGGGCTGTATTATTTTGTCTCAGTGCACCCACTACTTTGTAAGGGGCAGAGCCTTAGGTACTTACCAGGTGCGGCAACCCACATTGCTGTATTGTGACACTGTATGTGTGGGAGGGGTCAGTGAGGAAACAATGCTGCTTGCCTGGCTCTCGGTTGGCCTTCAGTCACTTGCTCTGCTACCAACAAGCAAATTGGGTCCTTCTGGTACTGATTCCAGCGTGGGCAGGCTCGTGCACATTCTAGCACTCTGTGGGTCTCTTCAATAAACTCTCCTGTGAGGCTGAAAGTTTCTCCCACTGCAGCAATTCCCACAGGTTTCTATAGCCAGAGGTTTTGAGGTTTAATTTCCCCATGCTGGAAACTCTGGGTTGCGTGGTGAGTCTAGTTCCCCAGTTGTTATCCACACACAAATGTGGGACTACCTGGTCTGCCAACCACCACTTCACTAGCCCAGTCCTCCAGCCTCCACCTTGCTGCAAGTCCTCTCCTCCCCAGATGCCCATCTGTGCCTCTCCTACCAGTCTGGATTAAAGTTTCTTCTTTACGTCCTTGGTTGTCAGACTTTCATATAGTTCAATTTTCTAGCAGTTCCACTGATTTTTTGTTTTTAAATTTGCTGTTGTCCTTCTTTCAGTTTTGCAAGGAGGCAAAGTTCATCTACCTATCTTGGCCAGAAGTCCCATATAAAGTTTTGAAATAGTATTTTAATAGGGACTACATTGAATCTAAAAAACTTAGAAAAGGCCATTTATTATAAATACCATATGGAAACAAACCCTTCCAAAGATTTTATTCAATGTTACCTACATGCAAAATCAACATCAAAAGATACAGCTATGGAATCTTGAAAAAGGCAGTCTCCTTATTAAAAGCAATCCATAGGATAGGATAAGCCAGACTTGCCACGCCAGCCCCACCTGTCAGTGAGTCTTAGTACTTGTTATAACACATAGTGTCCTAAGCAGTTTCCCAAATTCCTTCATAATGCAGGCCACTTTGAAAATGGCAGTTGTCCAGCACCTAAGATAAAGAAATGAGGGGCTTAGCTGCCCCAGGGCAGAGGACCTCAGAGTCTGTAACCTGCCAGTTCTCTGAGATGAGCCAAGGCAGAAATTCTGCTCTGAGAACCAGCCCCAGTAGACAGAATGGAGAGAATGAGAGGGGAATGGCCATGCCCATACAATTTTGTACACATATTAAAGGCTCACAATCCACCTAAAAAACCTTCCCCCATATCAATGGCATCCTTCCTCTAATGGAATCCTGGGATATTCATGACTTATCTGAGGTCACACAACTCATTAATAACACATCTATGAAAACCCAAGTCTCCTAACACAACAGAGTTTGAGATACTGTATGCTGATCTGCCACTTCTGAACAGATAGAGTTCACAATCCATGTAGAATGGGTCAGCAGAGCTAAAATGTTGAGGAACTACAATTCCAGAAGATGAGAGAATACCTTAGTTGGACTCTCAGGATTTTGGAGCCTTGTGTTTCTGGTGCTAGCTAAAGGAAATGGGAGAGGAGAACAGACAAGATTGCCCAGCAGGAAAGAGTATTCAGAAAGAGCAGCCAAAGACTGAATCTTGAGGGACAGCAGAGAGAAACATAGTCCACCAGTAGAAACTGGAAAGAGCTAAAAGGGAGAAGGAAAACCAGAAGAAAATATCATGGATGGAATCTCGTAAAGGAAGGGTAGACTGTCAAGTCATCTGAAAAATTGAGTACGGCACAAACTTAAGAGTTTCCTTCCTCTGGACTTGACCATAAGAACCCCTTCATGTTCTTGGACCTCTTAGCAGTGACAGGGCAGAGGCAGGTAATAGAGGGTGTCAAGGAACATTAAAGGAGGAAGTGGACTTCACAGACTTGGTTGTGAAGTGAAGGGAAGAGATTGGACTATACCCAGGAAAAACTCAGAGATGAGAGAAGAGTTTGCTAAGAAAAAAGCACTCAGGAGCTTTTCCCAAACTATATCAATGCTCAGAAATACAGATCAAGAGACATAAATCACCTATTGAACTCATAAACTAATGATTTTACTTTTATATTCAGTTGGTAAAATAAAAGAAAGAAATTATGTGACATAAAGCAGGCTTGTGCTGATGGCCAGATGAGATAATTAAATATGCTTTTGTTCAAATCTTCTTGTCTGCTCTGCAGACAAGATTATTCCTGATTATACTCTTTCAGCTTCAGGGCCTGCCTCATCCTCCATCTGTCTCACTAGCATAGAGATCAGGGTTAGGGAAAGAGTAAAGCAGCAAAAATAGTTTACTAAGCAATGAAATAATAGAAAAAATGTATATACAGGCCTCTGCCCCCCATTCCTGGCACAAGGCCCTAAAACCCCTATAACTTCCTAAGCTGTGAGAGCACTAGGAAGCATCCTCTGTTCTATTGAAGTGACTCAGGGTGGGCTCCTGGATAGGTCCTGAATGAAGGCTGATCACCAGAAAGACCAAGCCATGATCAGAACTTGGAATTTTTAGATCCTAGATGCCCTATTTCTCCAGAAATGAGTGAGGGACTGGAATTGGGTTAATGATAGATCATGCCTATGGAGAGAAAAACCTCCATAAAACCCAAATATAGCAGGGGTTTCAGGAATCTTCCATGTACCAGACAGTGACACACTCCAAGTCCATGGGGATAAAAGCTCTTGCATTCAGGCCTTTCCCTTCATGTGGCTGATCATCTGTAGCCTTTATCATATTCTTTAAACTAGTAAACACAAATAAATGTTACCCTGAGTTCTGTGAGCTCCTCTAATAAATTAATCACATCTAAAGATGCAGTCAGCCCTGGCTGGTGTGGCTCAGTGGGTTGAGTGCCGGCCTGGGAACCAAGCAGTTCGACTGGTTCGATTCCCGGTCGGGGCGCGTGCCTGGGTTGCGGGCCAGTTCCCAGCGGGAGACACACAAGAGGCGACCATGCATTGATGTTTCTCTCCCTCTCTCCTTCCCTCCCCCTCTAAAGAGAAATTAATAAAATCTTAAAAAAAAAAAGATGCAGTCATAAGAAGCTCTGATTTGTAGCCAAATTGGACAGAAGTTGTGGGTAACCAGGGGACCTACTACTTGCAATTGGTGTCTGAATAGGATGGGAATAGTGTTAAGGGGCTAAGATCTTAACATGTGGGCTCCACGTAGACAGTGTCAGAACTGATTAAATTGTGGGACCCCACAGACAGTGTCAGAATTGAATTAAATTGTGGGACCCCACAGCTGCTGTCACAGAGAATTGCTTGTTGTGGGTAAAAACCCCATACATTTGGTGACCAGAAGTGTCACATGTGAACTGTTGTGTGAAAATGTGGTAATAATATTAAAGTAAAGGAGATACACAGATGGAGAATTGAATTTTTCCTTTTACATGCACACTTACATAAAATAGTGTGTATGATTGGAATTTGCTGAAGTGATCTGGCCAGACTCTATGTTTAGTGAAATAGCACATAAATCACCTCAAAGCAAAGTAGGAAATGTGAGCAAACAGAAAGAAAAGAGACAATGTTTTTTCTTTCCTACTCAGAATAAGACCATCACTTAATTATCTACAATTTCCTCTTACCTGAATAACCATATATTTCAATAGTATTTGAAGAAAAAAGCATGTTTGGTCTTCAGCTATCTTTTCCCCTGATATGGCTGGCAGGAGTGGAGTGATTTCTTCTGGATATATCTTTGCTGCGGAGTGGAAAATAATGAGAGACTTTCATCACAGTTAAATTTTAACAGGGTTTTCAGAAAATGGCCTCTACTAAAATACATGTATCCATCTATTATACCTGCTCACATGGACCAAGCCAGTGTGCATGAAGGGTTTAGAAGCATGATAACAGAAGCCACAAAGCCACCTGTCCCACTGTACCATTCTTTTTCTTTTCGAATTCTGCTTTGGTCAGCCTAACATCAAATACCTGTCATTTGGCAATAAAAGTGACCCTAACAGGACACAAATGGCTGCCATTAATAGTCCCATGAGGCATTTACTGTCCTCCCGTTAATGTTGCATGATAATACATAGCTAACAAAAAACAAAAAAACAAACAAACAAAAAACAGTATGGGTGATCAGATGAATGAAACAATAGCAATGAGGACAAGAGATAGTAAATAGTTTGGATAGTGGTTTGAATTGCAGTAACAGTCACAAAAACACTCCAGACATACCAAGTGTCCCTACTTCCTGCTATTGCCAACATCTGTCCTACTCCCTTTTATTCCTGTTCCCATCTCTTCAGCAAATTTCTCTTGCCATCATTTCATATAAAATAGGTTCAAGTCTTTCAATTCAAATACATATAAGAATCTACCATGAATGTTAATGGGAAATAATTTCTGTTCAAAATTAATTTATGAAGTCGAGATTTCTATTGAAGAAAATGGCAAACCAAGGAATTCCTCAATGTGACTTCAAGAGTCATTTCAAGCTGTAAGATCTGCTCACATCACTCACCATCAGCTATACTAGGGCTTGGACTGATGAGTGTCTCCAGAGTACAGGGCCCTCTGGAGGACATGATCGCTGGGAAACCAGGCACGAGGCAAGCGAAAATCAGCACCTGCTCTTCTGCACAGTTTGTCTGTAGTGCCTGAAGCCACAGAAGAAACAACCTGATTCCTTCACATCTTATCTAAAAAAAAATAAAAGCAACAAAATTAAACATATGTACCTGTGGAAATGCACTTCAATGTAACATCAGTTCTGAGAAAGAAAAACTACAAGTGAAAGGTATTGTCAAAGCACTGTGCTAAGTTCTTTACTTGGTGACAAGTAAGGAAGGATGCTGCAACACAGCACAAGGATTAAGACCTTGGGTTCTGGAGCCAGAGTGCCTGGGTTCAAATGAAGACCGTGCCACTTTCTAGCTTAGCTGTGACCTGTGAAGAACCACTTAACTTCTTTATGCCTTAGTCTCTCCAAATGTAAAATAGGAATGATGATCACAGAATTTACCACAAAGTGCTGGAATAGAATTAAATGAGTTAGAACAGTGCCTAACTCACAGTAAGCACTATTTATTTCATTCTTAAGGGAACAATCCCCATATCTTCAACATTCAAATATCCATGAAAACAGTGCAAAGATAATCTTCCAAATTTACACTGTGCTTTGGACAGCATTGATGTCATGTCACTACAATAGCACTAGTACAATGTTCTTATATATCAGAATGTTTAGAGCTAATTAAGACCTTAAAAAACTGACTCAATGAAATGGAACAGCTCTCCAACTTCCCTGCCTTATGTTCCTATTCTATTCTCTCAACACCTCTGCCATGCTCTGAATAGTGGGCATCTACCTCTACAGATGTGTAGAAAACATCTATAGAAGTAGATGTGTCCTCCTTCAACTTCTAAACTTACTTTCAACTTCATTCCATTCCAAGAATTTATAACCACGGGTATCTCCATTTCTATATTCCTAAATGGCTGAAAAGATGATGTCAATAAAAGAAGTTAAATAAGCAAAAGAGATGAAAAATATGTCAGACACAGATAAAAGATTAATGAACTCCAAATGCAGGTAGGTAACTGAGGAACCTTTCAATTATACCAACCAGTAGATTCCTCCAACAAGCCAAACAGGAAGCTCTGCAGAAAAGCCAAAAGGAGAAGCTCCCAACCCCCCAAAAAAGAGAGAGAAGGAAAAGTCTTAGTCAACTCCCCAGAGAAGACTGATGACAATGCTACTCCCATTAAGAGTGAATTCCACAGCATACTTTCAGACACACTTGTGGACTCACCACTTCTCTAAACAAAGCTCCATGACCACTCACATCTGTCCTCTCCCCAGGCAGGTGAAATAAGTGGTGAATGCATAATGTTATTCAGCATCAGGCCAAAAATGGCATGGCTCTATATATACCTAACCAAATTATATCAAATTTAACAAGAGGAAAGTTTCTTTAAAATTCTATCATAACTCATCATTTTTTATGTTAACTCTTTTTAAGGTAACTAAACATAAATAAAGCCAATAAGAAACATGAGATAATGATCTGACAGTTTTAACTATAATACTATTAATTAAAATAGGAGAGACAAAATATGGTATCTGTGAAGCTAGGAATAGCTCATCCCCTTTTTTCAACATGTAAGAATACTTAACTTACCAAGATTAATTGGCTATGATGTTTTAAACTGGTATAAAACCCAAAATGCATTAGCTTATTAAAGGCACACATATAACAATGAACTATGAGTGAATTACCCTTAGTAAAATACACATCCAAAGATGGCTTCTTTTGTCAATGATTTTTGAGTGCCATTTTATCCCAGCATCAAATGGTATGTCATCATAAACGGCATATTCATTTTAATAAGCCAATTTAACTTAAATTATAAGAACAATCTGCTGTAAATCAATAAATACTCAAAAGGAAGGTTCTGCTACTCTTTTCCCACACAATGGTGCTCAAAAAATAATTCAGAGGCAACTATAATTTTAACAACAAGATTACGGGGGTAAACAGAAGAATCAGGCATGTTAGCTCTGGAGCTTAGCGAGGAAGTAATTCAACCCCTTCTCTTTCTGATGATAAAACTGAAGCAGTTAGCACCTTGCCACTGGTTCCCTGCCTACACAGAAGAATCAAAATTCTAGGTAGGTTCCCTACCTTCACAGAAGAACTCAGATTTCCAAAATCCCAACCCCAAGCCATTTTCTCCAAATTATATTTACAATGTCTATTACAAAAGTTATGATGGAAGAACAAAAAAACTCTGACAAATATTAGAAATATAATTTCTCAATTAAAAATAAAAACTAACTAAAGTGGTTTTCATAGTGGCCTAATTTTATTAATTTATGGAATAACTTAAGATTAATTAAAAATTCCATTACATATTCATCTAAAATAAATACCTTAATAGAATTTCCAGTGTGTAGAAGCTTCTTTAAAGTTGAGCCTGGAAGTTTAAAACAATAAATCAGAAATGAAATATATAAATGTAAGATTTATTTTTGAAAGATTAGTTTTAGAGAGAAAAAAATGTTCTTACAACAAAAGAAATATTATATATATATATATATATATATATATATATATTTAATGTACTTTTAATGGCCATTTTTCCAAACATTAAAATGTTGAAAAATTTTTAAAAACTCAATATTAAAAGTATTCAAAGTATTAAAACTCACATTATTTTACATATTTACAAAACAGAATGTACTATAATTTTGCTTTCCTGGCTTAATGGAGCCAAATTCATCAATATTTTCTAAATCTACTTTCTTGCTTATCTCATTTTCAATTCCAAGAACTGCCATTCTTGATAATTTCTCCTGAGGTAGAATGTCAATTTTTTAATTTTATTTTTTATTATATTTTTTCCATCACCATTTATCTCCCTTATATTCCTCTCCTCCCCACCCCACAATCACCACACTTGTCCACATGAGAAGTGACCATCTTGTAAAGATCTTTTGAAGGCCAGAAGTTCATAAAGATAGTTCAAATATAAATTTAATATTAAAAAATCCTTTATTCATTTTAATTTAAAAAAACTCCCTCTATATATCATGCTTCAAACTAAAATCAATAATCAGTGGCAATATACCACCAGGAAAGAGGCAAAAACACAGAGAAACATCCTCTTTGTTGCTGGTGTGTGAGGTCTGCCAAAAGCTGACAGTGGAGCAGGAACACAGACCTTCTGGCATTAGAATATCTATAACAAATACAAGGGAGCAGTAGTCCACTGGAGTAATTTGAAATTAACAAAAATTAACTCAAAATGATTCAAGGAACTAAATGTGAAATATGTAAGTATAAAACTTCAAGAAGAGCCCTGGCTGGTGTGGCTCAGTGGGTTGAGCACTGGACTGTAAAGCAAAGGATCATCAGTTCAATTCCCAGTCAGGGCACATGGCTGAGTTGCAGGCCAGGTCCCCAGTAGGGGGCAGGTTGTGAAAGAGGCCACCACACATTGATGTTTCTCTCTCTCTCTTTCTCCCTGCCTTTCCCTCTCTTAATAAATACAATCTTATATAAGTAATAAATAATAAAAACTGAGCAATACCACTGAACATATACCTCACCAAATACTGATAGCAAACAGCACATGAAAAGATGCTCAAGAGCATTTCATTAGTCATTAGAGAAATTCACATTAAAACCACAGCAAGATACCATTACCACTAAAATAAAAAGGCTGAACATGTGAAGTGTTAATGAGAATTCTCATCTTCCTGGTAGAAATGTAAAATGGTGCACATCTTTGGAAAATAATCTAGCAGTTAAACATATAGTTTTGTATGATTCAGCCATTCCATTCTTGAGATAAAAAAGCACGTGCCCACACAAAGACTTGTATACAAACAAAAAAGCTTTATTTGAGGCCAAGCTAGAAACAACCCAAATGTTCATCAACAAGTGAACAGATAAACTATGTTATAGCCATGCAGTGGAATGCTGTACTACTCAGAATAAGAAGAAATGAACTATTAATATATGTACCAACACAGATGAATCACAAAATAACTAAACTGAGTGAAAGCCCAACAAAAAAGAGTACATACTGCAGGATTCTATAAGACTGTAGAAAATCAATCTAATCTATAGTGGCAGAAAGCAGATCGATGGTTGCCTGGGACTGGGGAATAACATGGGGAAAGGTGGGAAAGGATCATGAGAAAACTTTGGGGAGTGATGAATATGTTCATTATCTTGATTTCACAGGTATACATCATTGTCAAAACTAAGAAAAATGTACATTTTAAATCTGTATGTCAATTATACTCCAAGGAAAAATCTGGTTTTTTTTTTTTAAATAAAAAGTAGAGCAAGTAGCCTGGAAGTGACTCAGTGAAAGACCAGGAGGATGAAGGCTGCAGTCAGACAGAAGTCAACAGGAGACAACGGACCAGAAGATAAAGTAAGAAAACCACAGAGGGTGTTGAGATCAAGGGGATAGCACGTAATTTGGCATAAAGAAAAAGAACTGGGAAAGAATAAAGGCATTAAAAAAAGACAGTAAGTAGCACAGATGGTAGGTAGAAAATAGATAGGGGGGCAAGAATAGTATGGGAAATATAGAATCTAAAGCACTTGAGACACATGGTCATAAAGGGGGGAAATCATGGGGGCAGGGGGTGCAGGGTGGAGGGGAATGAAGGGGGGAATAGAACAACTGTAATGGCATAATCAATAAAAAAATAAAAATAAATAAAAACTAAAAAAAAAAAAAAAAAAAAAGAGCAAGAGGATATAGCAACAACAAGGAAAAAGACAAGGTGGCATCGCCAAAGGAGAGAGGTTTCTGAAAGGGAGATAACGGATAATGCCTGGAATCAGCCTTGGAAATAAAAAAACATTATTTTTACCTGCATACCCCTGAGAAACACAGAGAAGCCTCAGAGAAGAGCCAGGTTTCACATGGCCAAAGAGATGAACACAAGAGGCTGAGTCAGTAGGGCTGTTGCTTATCCCATAAAGAGGATTTCCAGAGGGAAGATCACAAAGTGGGAAGAAGGAGAAGAGATGCAGAACACTGATGGTAAAAGCACTCCAAAGAGGGCCCTGAGAAGACACCAAGTGAGCTGAGGAGGCATTAAATCCAGTTATTCCTGGTGGACACAGAGGCATGCAGGGACCCTAGATTTAGCTCAGCTGGGCTCTGATGCACCTCTAAAGGAGTCTTATAGTGAAGGACATTGGGAGACAGTGCTGCCTCAGAAAGAGTGAACGATGGTGTAGCCTGACTGTCAAACTCGAGGTCTGTCAAATTCAGACTCCTGAGGAGAGGTGAGAGCCCAGTGAGCCCTAGAAATGAAGCTGTTCAAAGGTCGTGTTCATATCCCTGGTAATATGAGGCCACTGGGTAGCCCAATGCATAAAGCCAGAGCCACCCTTAAAAGGTCACAAACCAATGTTCAGTTTAGTGTTTATATTATGTTCAGTTTAGTGTTTAGTGTTTATATTATAAACACTCTTGGTGTTTATATTATGGATGAGAAAAATCTAACTAGATTCAGTTATGACTCATATAAAACACATATGAGGTACTGTACATGTGCGAATTTTTCACTACCTGAGCCCACTCCTCTAAGTCCAAGGTTATTTATTTTTAACATTTTTAACATAAAGCATCTCTGGCATAAAATATATCTTTCCACCCACTCAGACAATATTTATTGAACACAGGTACAACACTGTACACTGAATGGGACAGGAAATCTGCTTTCTAGAGGCTTGTGAGTAGTAAACCCTCCTAAATCAAACACACATATAACCTGAGTCCTGTACTGATGCCACGTGGGCACATGAGGGGGTACCACAGCCTGCCCTTGCAGCCCTGGTTTGCTGATATCCCTGGTTTGCTGATGTGCCCTTCTCTGTCATCTCCTCACTCCATGTCAGTTCCATTATTTCACAGAGATAAGACTTTAAGCAGCCACCTTTATCTACCATGATTTCTGGCCTAAATATGACTTCAGGAAAATTTTGATAATTCTTTTCAATTGGTAATCAGTAATAACAATTTATGAATAGTCGAGTAGCAAATAAACATACATCAGACTTGATGGGAGCTGTGTCAGCTATTTCCCTAATCTTACTCTCTAAAACATGACTTGAAGCAATATCTCTAACTGTTGGAATAATGAACCTGTGTTCATTACAACTGTAAAACTTGAGTTCAAAGATGCATCCTTATTCAATGATTTATATAGCAAATACACAGCCTTCAAAACCATAAACAAAGAGAAACTGTAGGACTATCTTTTCCTTCTAAAATGAGTGTTAAGGGAAATAGAATGTCTCTTTTTTCTGAACACCCAATAAAATGAGGTGATTAAGAAACAGACTTCAAACACTGTAGAAGTTGATGTTATAAATTACTCTCTTCCTTCTCAGAATAAAATGTAGCTATCCAGTAGGTCTGAGAGCTTTTAAGACTTGTCAGAATACAGATGCTGTCATTATTTTAAGCTTTTGTGCTTGGTGTCATTGCCATTTGTAGTATGAGGCAGAAAGCAAACTGAATCAGTGGTGTGTAAACCAAGCTTTAAGTTTCTAAATATATTTCAGAGTACCTACCCAAGATGGCAAAGAAGGTGGAAGTTGCACTTACCTTTTCTCATGACCACATCAAAATTACAACTAAATTGTAGAATGATCAACCTGAATAACCATCTGAAGACTAGGTGAATAAAAGTCTTATAATTAAGGATATACAGAAAAAGCCACATGGACACTGGTAGGGAAATGGAGGCACAAAACAGGCTGGCCCTGAACCCATGTGTAGCAGTTGAAAATCCAGAGGGATAGCTTAGCTACCGAGGTACTGAATCTCAACCCCATGGGAAGCTCCCTAGCCCAAATCACCAGTGCCAGGAAGAGGGGCATCCGTCAGTGAAATTCAGCAGGAATTCCACCTGCCTAGATAAGAAGGAAGGTTGTTGGAAACTCAGGCATCCTTTTAAAAGGACAATGCACAAAATCTCTTTCACAGGCACTCACCCTGCGCTCTAGGTAAGGGAGGGCAGCTGTGAGGGCACTTGAAGCATACATGGAGAGACTGAGTTATGTGGCTTTGAGGAGAGGGCCAGAAAGACAGCTGCTAATGTCCCTGTGTTGAGTCCCTCTCTCATACAACACCCACAGAAGCCATGTTTCCTGGATAGAACACTTTCCCCACAACACTACCAACCTAAGAAACTGCACTGGCCACACCGAACAGCACCCAGCCTGGGCCTGAGCTGCAGTGTTTCTTAAAAAAGTCTCAAAGTATTCTGGCTAAGCTCAGGGCATGCTTGTTACACAGAAAAAGAAACTGAGCTGTGTGACTATCAGGGCAAGGGCATTTTTCCATGTTCGTCCTACCCATGCCATACTTCCTGTGTTGAGCCCAACCTGCATCCTCACAGCATTAGCCTAGAAAGCTCCACTAGCTCCACTTTGGCA